GGTTCTCATGCCCTTCTGGAGCATAACTCTGTTGTGTCTCCACAAAGTTAAGAACACCATTAAAATGTGTTGACCCTATTTTGTGTAAATGGATTCTACACAAACACAACTCTGCCGTATCTCCATAGTTAAGAACACATACAACTCTACTTTAGAAGTTGCAACTAGGATTCTGCAGCTTCATTTTTAGTAGAAGTTCGATAACACTAATTCAAAAATAAGAGAACCTTCAGGCAAGACTCTAAATACATATAGAATCTACAACTTCAAGCAGAGAAAAGTGGGTGCTTGAATAGCTTCAGAAATATTTCTACATCTTTCATATATTTGAAATCACTTCGCATTCAATGGAAGTTTGGTAGGCTCTGATAACTTAAAAAAATGATTGGAAAAACAACAAACGGGAGTTTCAGTATCTCCTCACAAGCCGAAATGGGTAACCTATCAGAAAAAGGAAATCATTATACCACTAGTGATTTACCCCTTGTCAAGCAGAAATTTCAAGCACCATCAACCATGTCTTAATTTTTCCTTTTTAAGGAGTCCACATAGGACACATGCACACTAATGCTAAACCGTAACAGCGATTTCAAAGTCCCTGCCACATAATTAGCTAAAAAATTCTGTTTTCCTGTTTTTGTTGCGAGTGATAATAATAGAGGACAATGAATAAGCATGCAAAAAAAAACCTGTAAAAGAGAGAGGTCCCGTAGTATTTCAATGTTGTCGGGATCAATCCTCAGGGCATTTCGATAGCATTTAATTGCTTCCCTGTATTCTCTGTCTGACCGGTACAGAAGACCATAAACATGCCAGCAAACATGACTCTTTAGGTCATTCTGCATAGAGACCAGCTTAATTGAGCCAGATGTCATTTCACAAACATGGAACAAAGGTAAACTACTGGTATTCACAATTTTTTAGGAAATCACAAAGGATATCCCAACCTTCAGACCAAGCCGGACAAGTTCATATGCTTCTGATTTGCGGTCCAAGCAATTCAATGTTAACCCCTTCATTGACAGAGTTTCTGGGAACCAGGAGCAAGAAATAGAAGAAATTATGACAGACTAAGTGAAAAACAATACAAGAACATTCACAATTATTTGGCCAAACAGGTCATATTCATAATCATCCTAGAACACCATATTTTTCAACAAAAAAGAAACCTACGGACTCCCAACCTACATAATACAGTTTTTTACTCAACAGAGGAACTCCATTAAATCACACTTATCATTCCAGTGCACAAGAATCATAAATGGTGTTAAGCAAAATTTATATGACAAACTTTTGTGTTTGCATACTTACTGTTACTTTTAGCTTTCTTCACCTATTCTTGAGTTCCAAACTTCACAAAGGGAACATCAATTAGGAGAAGGGCAGAGGATCCAAATGAATTCTCGCAAAAAGTGGAAGTCTGAACACAATTCCGCCACAGGTAATTGGGGTACTCAATCACAGATAAACAATCCAAGTGTAGACAGATGTAGGCTGTAACACTTTTCATGAAATTTTCTCTTCTAACAAAAACCATTTTCATTCAACATAATTTTAAAATCCATTTTGGCCTTATCCTGACAGTGTGTGAGCCAACAATTTTGCAAATTATTTTTTGGGCATGCAATACATAGAATATGTCCTGTCACCACATTAAATGAGTGCAGGGAGATAAAAGATCCACTAGCATCAAGGATAGCGCACTTCCCTAAGTTTGGCATGTCCCCAAATTTTAGTTTCATCCACAAAGTCAATAGAAAAACACACACGTGTTAAATATTCTACAAACTATGAGAAAGAACCCAACTACCCATACGAAACCAATCCCAATAAAAAAAATCCCTTAAGCCCTAGAAAGCAGGAGATTTTAAAAAAGACTTCTGATTGGCACTATCTTGGACACTCCTTAGTTAGCATCATATTAGTATGCTAATTAGCGGATGAAGGTATCTATATATGTGGCACTGTCTTGGACACTCCTTGGTTTGCATCATCTTAGCATGCTAACTAGAGGATGGAGGTATCCATATGTCCCAGCCTTAATGCAATCAAAATATTTGAGATCTGTGGCAAGAACGCAAGGACCAAGATCTCAATCAATTTACGATACCTCGACATTCTGTTTAGTTAACAATCCTGAACCCAATAAAAGACTTCCTAGAGACCTCCCAAGAGAGAAAATCAAAGTTGCCAATTTTGCAAAAAGAAGAGTAGTGCTCTCTGTGACATATCTTGCTATTTTTTCAAAGTGAATCTTGTCCAGATTACAGAACTTAAATTGCCCAATGACAGCTTCCACAAGAATGGAAATAACAATGGCAAATGCTCAACACAGTAAAACATCCCCCAGCTACACTTGGTGAAACTTCAATGCCCAGAAAGGTTCACAGCCCTCACAATTTGTAAATTTCAACCTGATTGAATCACCTAGGTTTTGCCCAATAACAGATCCAACAATGGGTTAAGTAGATTGTTTCAAGCATACGAGGCCATTAGTGTTATGCCCACAAGCTCAAGGGGATAAAAATGGAGATCTTTTGTGTGTTGGCAATGCCTATTTTGTGTGACCCAGAACAGGATAATTAAAATTAAAAAAAAAAAAATTAAGTTCATAAGAGAGGGAGAAAGTACAGATTTTACCTTCTTTCTTTTCTTTTGTTTTTTTCTTTTTTTCCCTCCCTTTTTGAGGACATCAGAACTACTACTTTGTACTCTAAACCCCATTTTAAAAGGTCATTTTCCATTGTCATCGACAATATGCTACACCCATTAAAATCTCTACAATCCAAGTAAGGACAAAACAGCTAGACAATGGCATATTAGCCCAAGAATTCTACATGGATAAACAGATTAAGAAAACAACTTCATGTTGATTTCTGCATGTGTTGACTGCAAAAGTTTAACTATATACTCAGCCTGTCCACTCCATGGGTTGCTAGCCGACTCGGGTGGGGGTCAAAATGAGGGGAGCTTATTTTGTTTCTCATCCTACAGCTTCTTGTACAATTTTCCTACCAACTGTGAAAAATTAGAGTTTTAAACAGCAGATGAAAGTTCATCTACGCCAAAACCTAACCAACGATCAAAATTTGGTTTCGAGATGTCAGAAACGTTTCTATTTCCAATGAGGCCGAAACGAATCAATAATGGAATCGAAACTTTAATATTTCGAGGGATTTTGTAATGTTTTGAGATGATTTTATAATATTTTAATTCATTTGCACAATTGTTTCAGAATGTTTCAAGGTATTTCAAAATACTTTGATATATTTCAACTAATGTTTTGGAAAAATAATTTTTAAATTTTTTATTTTGTTTCCGAAACTGGTCGAAACATTTCTAAAACACGTCGACACGTTTCCGTTTCATAGGTGATTGAAACAATATACCAAAACAAAATTTTAATCATCGGCCAAAACATAAAATGAAATAAATATTTACTCTGTTGAACTGCCCGGAAACAAGGAAGGCTACAATACTATGTTATGTCAAGTTCCCCATACCTCCATGATCTGGAAACTTCTTCAATACAGCATCTGCAGCTTTCAACCCCTTTTTATACTGCTTTGTTTCATATGATTTCTGCAAGGATGAAGGCAATTATCCATTATGTTTCATTTTAGCAGTGGCTTTTGTGTTTCTCCAATGTAAAGACAAATACAAATAACAGGGTTACCACAGCAGGTGTACAATATAACAAGGATCAATGGAAACATGGTAGTATTGAAGTCACCCAATAGTCTAATAAGTGAATCCTGATTAGACTTACAGTAATAGTAACTTGTATTCGAACTTATCTTATGCTTCCATTTCTAATGAGGAATACAAAGATATGCCAATTACGTGTCTGACACAACAAAATTATGGAACTTATCCAACATGCACCTTCTAGTGACAGATATAATTCTACTCCAGTATACCAAATTTTAGTCTTTTTCTTAGCAGAATTTAAGCTTTAGAAGCAGATAAGCATTGGTGAGTCAAAAATAACCCTTGAATACGACTTAGATCAACAATAGAAATCGTGGTGACATTATGAACATGTTTTATGCTCAAAGAACACCAAGATTGCAAAAAATAGCTGAAAACCTAGGGTTTAGTAACAGGTACCAAGTAGGGTTGACTGGGAGAGTAATTAAGGTGTACTTAAGTGAAAGATTGAGATTAAAGAGCAGGTAGAGAGAGAAAGAAAGGAGAAGAGAATCGGAGAACTTACGACGATGAGTTTGAAGAGGTTGGCCTCTTTGGAAGGAAGAGAAGTGCCCATTGTTGCAAAACGGCGGTTCTAGAGAGAGAAAGAGAACTGAGAGATAGAGAGAGAGGGAAAGACTTCGTGAGATATTATAAGGTCTGCGCGACTAGAGAGAGAGAGTTTAAAGTGGTGGCGTTTATCTGCTGCAACCCTACTGAGAACAAGGAGCAAGCAAAGTATACTCATGTGAAACACAACAGGGGTGTATATGTAAATTTGAAATTTTCTTTTTATTTTTTAGAAATTCTCATTCGAAATTTTTTTCTTTTTAATTGTTTCGTAAAATCAAAATCAAACTTTAACCCAAAGATGGCATTTAAACAATTTCTCGCATGTCAACTAATTCATAAATTCTCTTGCCATAGATACTTTGATTTAAGACTTCAAAATAATTATAAAATCTGTCATTCGAACTTTGGTAAGAGTTTATAAAATCGCACCCAATTCATTTTTGTCGAATATTAGATAGTTTAGAGCTTAAACGTTCACCCCGACCTAAATTAACAGATCATATTAGACCCAGCCAAGTTAGTCAAAAGTTTAAAAGACAACTTGCATTGGTGCAATTGCTTTTCTGCAACCCTTCTTTATCGTTCACTTTGCCCTCAAAAGTTTTATCTTTTCACCTGTTACTTCAAAAACTTTTTTTAAAAACAATTAAATACATCATTTAACTAGTCATTGTAGAAGGAGAATGATCCAAAACGAGGAGCATAGGCGACTATGCACAAGTACAAAGTAAAGAATCCACAGCAGAAAATATAACTGTAGTAGAGTGGTTGTGCAAGAGGTGAATTTGGATACAAGTAAAAAGAGAATTATGAATTTTCTTAAACAGAGCAGATATGTTGCAATAGCTACATGGCTGATAGGCCAGCCAGACCCCTTCAAAGAAACACACACACACACTAGCATTCAGGGACGGAACCAGTCACTACTCAAGTCCAAAACTGGGGAACCACTCTGTTGAAGGGAGAGAAGTTGCTCTTCAAACAATAGCTGATCAGTGGGGTTTTCAAAAGCCCAGGAGTCATGACTCCCCTAGACCACAATATAGTTCCGTCCATGTCATCTTCTCATCTCCCACAAATGTTTACTTAGCATTTGCAAAGCTTAGAAGCTACGGTGTTGTAAGCTTGATCTATTTCCTCTTCAGTCATCTCAATTGTTTCATCACTGTCATAAGCCACAGCATTCCTAGCAAGAATGCTTTTGCTGGCATTGGCACTCCTCTCACTTCCATCCGTTGTTGGTTTTTTCATCTTCACCAATGAATCATCATCTGAATGGCCAAGTTCCACCTCATAAATTTGTTTACAGGCCATAGCTTGTCTGTAAAGATCTTCCTTAGAAAGTAAAGTCGAACCACTCCCAGCGCCTTCAAGCTTTGCCAGTTCCTCAACCACCCGAGGGATGAAATTCCACTGCTCAGTTATTTGTTGGATGTCCTAAAGACAGATACATGAATGCAAAGTGAGTAAGCATACAATCTTTACAGTCCTTGCAAAAAAGGACTTGACACGTTTAATTGATAGGTAAGTACAGCCCTTTTTTTTTTTCTCTTTTTTCTATTAAAGTTAATAATAATATATCTAAATATCATTTGTTCACAGGCATAACACGAGTGATATATAATATTTAGCAAGTCTCTATCACATAATCATTAATCAGCATGAATGATCTTCGGAACATTTCTGAAGACAGTTATAGACTTGCTATGGTGGTTGACATTGCTGCATAGAAAACCTGCAGTGTCCCGAACATGGGAAGAATATAAGCTGATTCAGTATTGTGGAAACAGCTTCTCTGCTTGCAAAGGTAGGGCTGCATACATCCAATCCTCCTCAAACCCCGCAATGGCGGAAGCCTCGTGCACTGAATACCCTTTTAGTAAAGTCAGAAGGCCAGCCTGATCACGTAGATGACGCAAGTGATGTACGTGACATAGCATCTTCCAGCTTTGGAAAGACATGTTCTGAGAGCCAAACAAAGGAATTCACTGATCTGACTAATTCAATCAGCACAGCAGACCTTCCAAAACTTTCAAATTACACCATTGGTCAGCGGGATGTCAAACACCTAACCCTCATCACGGTCTGCTATCGGCAGTGCCTCTCACCAATTTTTTAAGACTCGAGGTAAAGGAGATAACAACTCCGGTCATAAGTATGAAATCTCAAATACTATTCAAGCAAATTTGATCATCCTAGGAGAACACAAATGACCAGCAAATAAATTTTGGAGAGATGACTGTAACCATCCTCCCTCCAAACTTTACCTAAAGAAATCATAGGCTATGGTGATTTCCAAAGGAAGAGAGAAAGGCATGGTGCTCATATTTGGCTGCTAAGTACCTCTCCAATGGCAAAAATGGATTTACCAACCCACCCCTTAAATATCCTGCATCTAGAAAGGTATCAAATAATACAGAGACTTACATACACTTTAGATTTGACCACCATACTACAGATTCCAAACTCCTATTTACCAGTGAAGAAAGTGGGCAATGGAAGAGACCACAACTGAGACAACAGAATCTCTTGCCCATTTTCTTGAGAAAAATGTCTCTATAAGTAAATAATGTACCTGCTCTTGCTTAAAAGAATCAATGGCGTCTTCTAAACAAGTCAGGATCCCTTCAGCAGCTACTTTCTTTATCACGCTCGGCTCTGGCTGTCCAACATGATGAACCAAGGTAAGATTTGCAGAAGATATCAACTGTTTTGTACACAAGAGGGCAAAATATACAAATTTCTAATGCACAATCAGAAGTCTGACAAGTTATTTAACAGAAATCACTGTATCAGAAAATGAGTTATTTGATAAAACAAATGTCAATGACACGACGGACGTTCACATTGTAAACAAGAAGAAATGAAAGCTACAGACGTTTTCACAGAAAACCAGAAAACTATTCAAATTCGCAATACTAACAAGTATCTCAAATGGAAAATTCAAGGAGAAAATTCATGTGAAGATGGGTCGCAAGTAACAATAGCAATGCAAAATTGCAGATTACCTTTTCTTCTTGGCTCTCCAACCATGATATTGTATTATTCAAATCATTAATAGCCCATTTCTTCAGCGTAGAAGTAGAAAAAAAATCCTTGGCAGGTTTAGAAGAATCGGTCTGTTTCACATAAGAGAAAGAAACTAGATCATAAATGAGGGAGTATAGAAATCTATGCTAAACAAAAAGTACAAAACCATATCTCTAATTACTGAGTCTCTAAAAGGTTCCAAAAAATACAACTTTGAGTACACTTTCAATCCTGCTAAGCTCCAGCAAATTATGCTTACTTTCATCATGTAATATTGCATATATATAGCCCTCACTGAGGGCAATGCCATAACATGGTTCATGCGGTCGACCCCAAAGAGTTGGGACAAGTTTTTCCAGAGTTGAGTTAGTAGCTCTAGAAATAAATGTGGGTATAATCATGTGAGCAGTATTGAATACAAATTAAGTACCTTGGACGAAGCAGATGGCTTTAAATGTGAGCCTCGTTCTACTTGCTTCTGAAATTTCCGAGATTTGGATGGTTCTTGATCTACAAGCACTAATTGCATTTAGAGTTCAGAACCTAGGCTCATTCGAAAAGTAGTTCAGGATTTAGACCAGAACCAAGGGTCATTAGGAAAGTAGTTCAGACTTCAGAATGCCCTTAAACATGAGACAGAAAACAGATAAATGGGAGCAACTTTGTCGTTAGTTTACAGAACCACATTCACAGATCACAATGAATAGCAACAAAATTAAATGTAAGAGACTCTCTCAAAAATTTACCACTCTGGAAATTCTAATGAAAAATGACGTTAAGCTTTAGATGCACCACATTCACTTCAGCATATATGTGGCCTGATAAACAAAAATGCAGGCAATCTCAACCTCCAAAGTCAGAAAACCAGCTTTGACATTTCCGAAAACTTGGGAAGTAAAGGGAGAGAGCAGGTCAAAGTTTGCCAGTTTGAGGTAAGTGCAGCCACCTCAACCTAGAAACATTCTATTTACCCTTTTGTACACGTGTGTATCTCGTGCCCCTATGCGTGGACACACTCAAGAGCATGTTTACGTTTGGGGGTGGGGACAGAAATTACTTCCTTACATTTTCAAATTTTTGCCAATCTTTATATGGGGTATCAGAAAAGGTCACTGCTATGATTCTAGACATACAGATCGAGAAACAATAGTTGGTACTGAACAAGTTATAATAATTTGAATAATTGGATAAAACGATTACGAGATTGTCAACCTATTCTAAAATCGATTATGCATGGCTTCATGATAAATACTTGGCGGAGAGAGAGAGAGACAGAGGGAGAGAGAGACCTTGGCTGGCTTCGTGAGAAGTACTTTGCCTCCGCCATGGTTTACCAGCATGCATAAGGTAACTTTCAATATCAACAAGCTTTTTCTGGTTGTAACACTCTGATATCCACTCCTATGCCAAACAAACTCTTGATCATTAGTTCTAACTTTCATGGAGCAGCATTCATAAAAGAAACACAATGAAATTGAATTTGAGCATGATACACCCAAAGACAAATTGTAATAATGGCCCCGGGGGAACTCATGTAATAAACCAGATAGACAGCATTAGATGCAATTGTTCTACAACCAGCTCACTCATTGGCACATCTATAGAAAAGCATAAAAGAGCGGGCCCTAAAGTAGATAGGATCTATATGTTAAGACATAAAATCATATAACAATGGACATGTAATACATGTATGCCATGCCTGCATAAGTATATTGCTTTTGGTGGTAATGAAAAACTTACGGAAAGAAAGGCAAAATGCACAAAGCAATCAATAAATGTTATGAAGATAGCATGAAACCAATAGAAGAACATCCAGCACGGAAAGATACATAAAGGCCCTGATATGTTGAAAACATTAACTTGCACTCTTAAGTCTTAAACAATAAGACATACCCACTAAAGTACTCCAGATAAAAGACCTCACTTAGCTCAAAAATCTGTCCTCAAACATCCACTGCCTTTTAATTTTTTCGTTCAAACAAAAAATCCACTTTCTGAGAAACCAGGAAAAAAAAAGGAGCAATCCGTCACTTGCTATGACATACTCTAAATCACAGCATTAAGGGCATGGAAGTGCACATTTTATCTTTAGATAACCGTTGCCAAGTCTAAGACCCGTTATTGGGCCCCGTAACACCCCAACTATCTATACATATGTACATATAAATTAATCAAATTAAGGAAGAGAGGCCTTGGAAAGTCTTTGCTCCCCAAATGTCTAATATGAGATTTTTGAAATATTTATAGAATCATTTAATCCAAAGTTGCCAGATGCCATATAATTACGTCCTTCCTCTCATATTTGTAACTGCTCATTTAAATGTTGCTGTCTAAAAAATCTGTAGTTGTTTTTGTACAGCAGCTCCTCAAAATTCAACTACTCGATCGCTAGTTTGCAGTGGGTAAGAACAATCACTATTTTATGTTGTCAGACTATAAAGAGAATACAATGCAGACCAATATTGAGGTAACTAGATAGGATGAAAACCATAACTTCATCAAGCACCATACTCTTATAATCAGAAATACACTAAACCAGAATCTTTCTATTTAATAAGAAACAAAGCAACAAACCAAGTTCTCTTCCAATTGAGTTTTAGAAGGAAAAAAGTCTAGGTCCTCAAAGTAGTTAGTGCTAAAAACACCAAAGGCAGCTAAAAAGCAAAATGACTAATTATAGTCTTTACTGGCATTTAGTTCACTAATTCCAACCATAAATCAAAGGCTTTACACTGAAGATCAAAGCAAAGACTAAAGAGAGGTAAACCTTGGAAACAATAGTTCCACCACCTGCCTCAACTTGTTGAAACTTTGGGGTATTAGGAAATGCGCAAACCAGAAGGGTGCAATCCGGGTTCCAATCAGGTTGATACTCCGCTCCCATTTCCAATGCCTGCGACCTTAACACACTCCGTTCAGGATTAACAAACCCTGACAACACGAACACAACCCTTTCCTATACAAAACCAAACTACAGTCTCAGTTCTTGTAAGAAAATTTCAAATAAAATACACAAAAAAATATTTAAAATCCAAGATTAAATTGCTTCAATACCATAAGTTTGGAAAATCCCGAGGCATTCGACTTGGAGGGCGAAGATTTTTTTTGGGTTTCGTTACTTTTTCCATGCGCACCAACATGGGTATGCTTCTTTCCATGAGATTTACTCTCATTCTCTCTCGAAGCCATCCATGAAGGAAGATTTCGCTTCACGTTCTTGTCATCACCATCGTCAAGGCTTTCTTTCGGATCATCCATGTCAGCGATCACTTCTTGTTTGCCTCTATTTATTCTATTCAATTACAGCACTCCAAATTCCTCCAAACAATGATTGAGACGTTGCACGAATCAACAAATTAGGGATTTGGTTTGGGACTGATGATCGATGTTTGCACGGAAAATAATTAATCGCAGTAAACATTAAGGAAAGTGAGGAAGTGTAGTACCTCTATATCTTCATCTGACTGTTCTGATTGATCGTATTGCTTTATATGTACCCCCAGTTTTTGCACATTTCCTATTGGGACCCGACTTTCCGTTTTATTTGCAAATGTGTCCCTTCCCGTAATCCCACCTCTATGCCTACTAATCGGGTCGAGTAAAACGGTTTCGCGGTGGGGTTTATGTCAAAAAATCATTCATCCATATTTAATTCGTTTATATAAACGAGTTCAAGTATCACACTCATATATGAATCGTTTATTAGACGGGTTACTTGATACAAACTATGTGTCAACCGCTAAATAAGATAATAGGTCAAAATATTTCGAATTTATACGAAAAATCATCAACTTATTACACATTACACATGTTTGACATATTTACTATAACAATAAATTATAATTGAGCAAAAAAATAAAGACAAAAAATATATATTAAATGATTACTAAATTTAAATGAGCCTAAGAGGTATGTGGTGTGAAATGAGGCAGAGGTCAGGAGAGTTAACATTTTTAAAAAAAAAATTATAATACCACTATTAACAAATTAAATGGGTTGAAACGAGTTTATGGTTTAATACGAAATTGGTTCATTTATTTGACAGGTCTGTCGAATTAACCCGTTAACTACCCAAATCCGTTAAAATTACACCCAAACCAGTTAAATCCGTATCGATTTCACGAACCGTACGTAAAATGTTAGGTCTACCCACCATTGATCTTAGGGAAACATCAAGACCAAATTTCACGAGTTAGGGCTCTTCTCAAATTACAAAATAATTAAAAAAAATTAATTACAAAATACACATTTATATTCAAATTTTATTGACGTAGATAAATCCTTAGCATATAAACTGAATTAAAAAAATCTCTAATTATTTGTATAATTGGAGATGGGCTAAACCCTGTCTCTTTTCCATAATGCTCTAACCCTGTCTCCTTTCCGTAATGCTCTAACATTGTTTTTTGATTTCTCTAACTAATTTTTATTCACATGGCACAAAAAAATTCATCATTTTCCAATTAATTTATCATCCCTCTTACAGAAAAAATATTAGATATAACGATTACACCACATCAGTATTGGTACATGATATTAACCGTCTAATTAAAAAAAAACCTCACCTATTCACTAAAGACGGAAAACCAGTTATTCCTTCATATGGATCCAAATCCCCTCCACATTATATATTTTTTTTAAGAGTTTCCCTCGATCATTGATCACTCACCATGAAATAAAAAAGGACTTATTATATATTAGTAGATCCACAACATAGTGGTGGATGATCTATTTATTGAAAAAAAAAATATAATAGAAGAGGTCTAGATTCTCCTTCTGTTTGACCTCTCATTTCTCATTTCTCATTTCCAAAACAAAAAACAAAAGCAAAAACAGAAGAAAAAAATTTCATTTAACAACCTGGATGAGGATCATAATCCAAGGTTACAAATTCAGACAGTAGTTTAAACCCAATCAAAAATATTTCATTATCTAAGGAAAAAAAAAACAGTAACCAAACGATCAGCACGGTAATACAATTTAACTACCGAAAAAATGTCCAGTGGTAGATTTCATTTCATTCTCATGCACCTGATCAAAGCCTCGGCAAATCTCTCGTACATGTGCCGCTTCAAATACATCTTCTCGACCTTTTTCCTTCCTCTGATTCCCATTTCCTGCCTTGCTGATGGGTTTTTGAGCAAAAACCGAAGATTCTGAGCAAGAATATATGTTCCTGGACGCCCTAGAGGATGAAGAAGACCGGTGACATTGTGTTCAACAATCTCTTTTGTGCCTCCATTATCTGTTCCAAGCACCTATGGGGCAAGGCAAAAATTCGGAAAGCAAAAGCATGTCATAATCTGACTGTTGCTTGTTTCGGGCTCTGTGTTATGTGGACGAAATTTTATGTTCATTCAAGCATCATAACCAGGAATTAAACACAATCGCAGGCAAGCTGATTTTCATCAATATCCTAACAGATCTCATGATGCAAAATGGTAATTGCCCGTCATTTGGAGGAACTTACTCTATGTTACATGCTCGTCCAATAGGCAAATGCCACTCTAGTTTTATCAAAGTATCAAATGGAAAACAATTTACACATGAAAATACAGATGCCAAATATGTTTTCTATTGCTAAACCCTCTCACTATTCTTTTCCAAGTTATATTTCTTTCATCATATTCAAATGTAGACATTCCTGGAAACTATTGCATCTGTATCCACTACTTCGAAAGAACTTGCTACATCACAAAGAAAGCTGCTTTGCGGTATTGGTCTCATCTGATCAGAGAGCAACACTATACATCCTTGGAAGTACAAAACCATTGACTTTCTCAATTGCAATTTAAGATGTTATACTTGATTAGTTTATTTGCAAACGATGACTTCAATTTCCTAAAGTAAACGGAAGAGCAAGTGGCAGATAAGGAGAAGATGTCAATCCAGGTTCTCATAATTGGTCCATGGTGAATAAAAGTGCCGGAAAAAAAATTAACTAAAGTAAAAGGTAAGTGTTTTGCACATTACTGAAAATGAACATATGAAGAAAATGATAAGGCCTGAAGGGTAGCTCATTAGTGATAATAGCATTCCTAAGGGGAGGTTTGAAATTATAAGGCTTAACTGGGTACAATATAGTACTGGTATCATAATTTTACTATTTAACTGAAGGTGATCTTCCCTGTGGCATGAATGTAAGAAAATTTGCCAAGAATTAAAGACAAGCAGACATTTACGATTTTACCATAATTTAGGATGTTCATACGCTTACATAGCTATGTTTATATATGTGCAGAGAATGAATAACAGTGACATCATCTAATAAAGCATAGAGCCACAGAATATAAAGAACTGAGACAATTTCTATACCGGAAGACCAAATGCCATGGCTTCAATTGTTACTCTCCCAAATGTTTCTCCAAGCCCCTGTATGCAGTCTAGAAATTAGTGGAGTTTTAAAACCTAGAAAATGCTGGGACATAAGTACTAAACATGAATCAAGAAAATAGAAGTAATTCTTTTACCACATTCCATTATAGTTCATGACACGCACAGGGCAAATGACATACATATGAAAAAATCTAAATTGATGATATTTACATCTACACATCCATTTCAGCGCCTCATTAGAAATGAAATCTTTAATTTTGCCTACAAAAACATCTATACTGAGTGCATGCCTTTAAAATGTTTTTGAATGACTATTCTTTCTGTATTTTGAAAATCACTTTCTAGTCTACCCTGAGATGATGTCCATTTGAAATATCACTACTATATGATTGCCAATTTCTTGAACTAGACATTGGCATCTGGACTTCTTGTTTGATATCAAAGGGGAGAAGCCCAAGTAAGAATCCAAGTGAGTTAGCACCAAAATTTATTTTGGCTTCAACATGGACAATGTACGCTAGAGGTGGGAATAGTATAACTACATGAACAAGATGTTGCCTTATGCACCAAACTTTGAATTACTGAAGGAGTCTACATAATTATTCCAAGGGTTTCCTCCACAAAGTGATGGCTGTTAATCTGCATTCCTATCACCTTTCTTTCACGTTATGTCTCCAATCAGTTGTTTGAATTGTTAATACAAAAAGTATTGAATTGTAAGAAGATTTCTTTTGTGAAAAAAAATTAACAAACTATTGTTAGATTCATTCCACATAACTAATAACCAAGTTGACACCAGCATCTCACCATACTAAATTATGTCGAGGTAAATATATGGCTACACATACCTATCATCAGCACATGCATAAATAAAATCTATTAAACCTATAGAGGAAAACCCGATATTTTGAGAACAACTACCCCATGCAACACTGAATTTCTGCAAAACTAATATTTATTGTGCCAAATATGTATATCAAAATGTAAACAATGTGTATCTTGCATTGTTGCATTTTTTAATTGGGGCAATACCTTCTGAACTGTACAAATAATTCAAGCAATTCATAAGAGAAACTTGAAGCATTATAGAAAAGAGGAGAAAAATGATAAAGTACTTACATTAGGTAATCAAGTAAAAGCGCTAAACAAACTCGTTCAATTGAACCTTGAATAGTAACAAAATTAGAAGAGCTACATAAACTCATTCATTTGAACCTTTAATGAACATTTTAATTCATCAATGAATTATGAGCAAGAAGAACCACAGAGTTCAAGGTCACGATATCAATTATTGACTTGAAAGGCACTCAGGCGCATCGCTCGCGGCATCGTAAATGGTATCTGACAATATGCATGGAATACTACACAAAAGAACAAGATGGACAGAGTGAAAGATTCATGACATATTGCAGTGTTGCCGAATGATGACTCGGCTGAGCATGTGAACTAGACTCGCGGTTTACACAAAAGTTTATCGGTATCAGCCAATACATTAAAGCATGAGCAGAAGCATCAACTTTCAACCGAACATACCAAATAAAATGAAACAGCAAAGAATCATCACCTGGGAATTCATAACATACACGTCTGCTGCAGCGTAAAGAGATGCAACCCGGATCGTTGCTGGAGTCCATATTATGGATGACGACAAATTTGAATGCCGAGATAAAAATTTGAGAAGTGCTTTAACATAGAGTGCCTTATTGCTCTTAGATCCCACTGAACCAATGAGAACCTTGACAGTCTGTTCCACCTGTCCTTCACCAGACAATAGCTTCCTTATATTGCCACCACTATTAACTGTCACAGCGTTAGCATTACCTGTGGATGTAAGGAGATGAGAAAACCATATATGTTTCCCTTTAGGTCTATTGGAATTCACAGATGATTCACTAGAGAGGTGTAATTTATTTGCAGATTCACCAGCCAGATTCCAACTTTGAAGCAATGCTCTTGAATGATAATCTTGGCCTCCTTGTGCTTGTGCTAAATCTTTGACTCTAGTATCATTCAGAGAATAATCTTGTTCAATGATCAAGCGTGCTGATTCAAGAAGCAAGTACTGGCCCTTTCCAGGGGTTATACTGCTTAAAGACATGACAAGCATATCATTATCTGTCAATCCCATCTCTTTTCTAACTGAATCTCGCAGGAACTGTCTTTTCTCAAGCATTTTTTCTGTACTGAATGCTGGAGTAGTAAGTGAACAAGTAATGCCAGCTGCAAAAGCCAGCTCATCACTAACGGAAAGTGGTACCAATGCAAGCTGAGGTCTCAACTTAATATTTTCTTCCTCACACCAGGCTAGCCACTGTTTAGACTGCAACTCAGAAAGAAATATGAGCATTTTCACTCGGTTGAGAACAGGCTTTGATCGATTAAAGTACTCATGTCGGTTCTCCATGATCCACCAAGCAATATGCTTTGAACCAGCCACATTGTGATCAAGATACTGTTCTGAATCCATGATAATATTCATCAGGAACAATGCCATAACATAGTGATACAAGCAAAATAAGTAATTTTCCTTCAAATAAATCAATTTAAGTCTTTAGTTAAAAAGATCAATATGACATCCAAAGACATAGATAAACCCACCCAAGCTTAAATTGTAAACTAATTCCAAAACCCAGATACTGGCCAACTAATTTTGGATTGGATACTCAAAACATATTTATACTTTGTGAACGTAGCGGCCTCAAAATTATTATCTTGATTTTCGCCTTGTGGCAACTTCCAGCATTAGCAAACCCTCCTAATCACAGAATATAATATAGTGGGGTCCATTGACTTTTTATGATTTGTAATACTGGATTTCTGCAATAAGATATCATTTGTAACAATTGAAGTCCAACTGAATTCACTGCTACAATGAAGTCCTACTGAAGCACAAATAAATCAATATAAGAATCAAGCAGGAAAAAGGCCCCAAAGAGACGCAAAATAGAGCCCCAAAGAGAGGTGCATGAGAGATCAATCCCTATCTTAGGCAAGGATCAAGAACCCCAGACCTCCTGCTTGGGAGAGTTAGGAATGCCAACTCGGCAATGCCTAGTTGGTTGCAAAGTCCATAGAGCTGGCTATTTTGTTTCTATAATATTATAAAGCAACACCCCTGACAAGGGGGCTCTAGTAAGCAAACAGTTTGATCCATTTTGCACCTAACATCAATGAAATTCCCCTAGTAGTGTTTGATAAAGGATCACTCTTTCAATATATTACAGGGGATTTGATAAAACTAAAATAACCAAGAAACGAATAACTTTGTTTTTTTTGAACAACGAACAATATAAGAAAAACTTTGTTGAACGGAAAGATAAAACTAGCATTGTGAACTAAAAACAATGCACTTAATTAATATGAAAAATAGTGATATATAGAAAGCATGTAAATGATTTCCTTTAGCACAACTATTATCATTAAAAATTTGTAAACATCATCAATAGAACGCAGCAAAAAGGTTCTGACCAATCCAAGATGCACAGACTGCCGAACCAGCGATGACTAGATCTGACTTCATGGCTGTTTTGAAGCTGAGCTTTTCTCTGTCTTCAAGCACTTTAATCTTCCTCCTAGCAAGCTCTGGCATTAACCCACCCCTTTTGCTAAGAACTACAACAGACACTGTGGCCCCACAGCTTAAGAGTTCCGTTGCCAACTCCATCATGGCAAGTGGAGCTCCGGTAAATGAAAGTTCATGGAATATCAACACAAACTTTCTGGACCAAACAAGACGGGCAAATTCACCTTTCCTGTCACAAGTTCCTGATCGCAACTCAGGGCTCCATTCCAAAATCCTATCCTCTATCGGCCCAAATGGACCAACAAGCAAACCGTAAGTAGTATTTCGATTAGGAATTTCCTCTTCCTGCACCTCAACATCACTGTCTCCAATGCCCACAGCCGGCTTCTTCTTACTAGGAATCTTCCTACGTGAACTACGCGCCGATCGCTTGTTCTTCTTCTTCAAAGATACCTTTCCAGGAGACGAAACAGTATTCCCTTTTTTTGCCAAAACCACATTCATGTTTTTCACATTGGGTTGTTTGTTTTGATTTCTGATTTTAACTGCCGATGATTCATTATTTGCAACCAAGTTCCGTCGCAGATCTTGTCCAGTTTCAGCATTCTCATCACTCGGTTTACTCCCATAATCAAAAATTCCTTCCTTATTGTCCCCATGTGCCCACCTCGACTGGATGTAAAATCCAGCATAAGTCCAAAGAGTAATTAGTAGCAACCAAAGCACTATCCGATTATTTCTAAACCACTGAGTGCTAATTCCACTAGTTCTACCTTCTTTTCGAGGAGTTCGGCCAGAATTCAATCTTTTAAATGAAGGAGAACCCCTAGGAGTTGATCGTCCTGACAATGTGGACTTCAAGCCACCACTTGGCCTTATCAATGACTGTCTCGCTACATTCCCATCCTCCATTGTACACTTCTACTATATCAAAATTGGCAAAAGCTTATAAAACATTCAATCATAATATCTATTCCACCATCCCCAGAGTAGAACAAAAATCTCAAGAAAAATGAAATTAGTCCGATACGTATGCTTCACAAATGAATTCTGTGGTAGCTTCTCGAGTTCCAATTCTACACAAAACAACATAGCACAGAATTTTACTTTCTTTGATGCTGAAACACAACTAAATGACTACATTTTACACTATGTCCAGTTGGTAAGAAAATTGAAGAAAGGACAAATCAACACGCCTTCCTTTATATATTTGTTCTTTTTTTTCTTCTTTTTGTTCTTTTTTCCTTCAATCAACAAGTTTTCCAATGATGTTTGAAAAATTCTTTTTGTTTCTTTTCCCTTTTTTTCCCCCAATCTTTCTGATTTATCAACCAAGAACTGCTTGCTAGTCACTCGGTTTTCAAATCTTGAAAACAAGAAATGCGATGCTAATCAAATTATCTTGATTCAAGAAGTAGAGTTTGAAATTGATAATTGAATCCTACACTTACAGGAGACATCGAGTGACTGAAGTATGGGCAATAGATCTCTGAAGCTGATAGTGAGAGAAATTCACGCAGATCTTGAAAGGATCCTTGTGGAGCTGCTGCTAGTTCATGATTTCAGCTCGAGTTTGAGAGGAGTACACTCGACAGAGAATGTAAGTAAACAGTGACTCTCGTTTTCTCCCTCACTATTGTCACTCAACTGTTTCTCTTCACTCTCCGTTTATAAACCGGGAGAGGGAGAGAGAGAGAGAGAGATGTCTGAAGAATCTGAAGTGAAGAGAAGGACCGCACGTGCAATGCGACTCGTGTGAAGAGAGGCTGAAGCGGGTGGAAGAATGGAAAGTTCCATGAGTTAACGTAGTTGAAGGATTAAAAAAGATTAGACCATAATATAAATTCTTGAATTTAAATGATTTGGATCGTTATTATATTTTTTTAATTAAAATTTTTAAATAGCTTGAAGTTCTGTTTTATTATTATAAATATTAAATAATCGAGTCGATTAAATTGTTCATGTGTAATTTAAAATTTATTTTTTATGAGATAATTCTTAATGAGTTTTTTCTATATGGATCTTAACTCATCTACATACAAATTTAAATTTAAATTGAAATTAAAAAAATTAACAACTTTAAATATATTTGGTACGAAGATTTCAGCAATTGTGAAGACTTTAGCAATTTGATTTGATTATCTGAAGACTTCAGCAATTGTGCTAACTAATATTTTTATAAAATATTATATACAGACCCTCTAAAATTTGTATTCACGTAATAATTAGACCTTGCAAATATATCAATTAATAAATTATATTTAGACCCTTTAAAATTTGTAAGTATAAGGGATCTAAATATTATGTACTTATAAACTTCATGGGGTTTAAGAATAATTTATTAACTAATATATTTATAATAGAGGTTTAAGTGTTATGCATGTACAAATTTCAAGGGATTTTTATATAATATTTTAAATATTAAGAGATCTAAGTAATTAAGTGACAAATTTTAAAAAAGTATAAATGTAATTCTCCCTTAAATCATGTGTATTATAGTAAGGAAGTGTAAACTATGCACACTAGCTTAACAAAGGCATTTTTTGTGAATTTCGAATTTAAAACTCTTATATATTGATTATTAAAATCTTATCATTGGAATTATTCTCTAGTAGCCAAATTATTTTGTGATTTCTTTTCTGTTGGGAGTAGAGTTCTATGCCGTTGATATGCCATCACCATTGAGTAGAATGTGATGGAGGTGCATCACTGTATCAGATCTCTTTTATACTTAATTAGATAGAGGTTGGAGGGAATCTTTTCAATTATTAACAACTAATTTTTCCCCACGTCATCCAGTTGCTTGATGGAAAATGCTTGTTTCTTTTTTTCAATGACGACGGCCAGATCTAATATATACATACTAGTTATTGTCGGTGCCTAAAGGTACATAGTAATAAAATATAATAAATAATAAATATATTTATATTTATATTTAAAATTAAATTATAAATATAAAAAAAAATAAAGAAATTTAAACATCGATTTATAGTGAGGATGAGAGGTGATGAGCGACAGTAGTGGTGATAGGAGACGGTGATGGTTGTGGTGGGTGGCAATGACCGTAGTGGTGGCGACTGCGACGATGGTGGTGGTGGTGGTGGTGGTGATGGCGGTGACGACAACGACAGTGGTGCGGTGGGGTGGTGGTGGCGGTGGTGGCGACAGTGGCAGCGGTGGTGGGGTTAGTGGTGGTGGTGACAGAGACGATGGTGACGACGGTGGTGGCAATGGTGGTGGTGGTGGCAGTGGTGGCGAATGTGGTGGTGGTGGTAGTGATGGTGGCGGCAACGGTGGTGGTAGAAATAGTAGTGAGAGCGGTTTCAAACACTATTTTTTTTAAAATATTTATGAGAAATAATTTTTAAAAGTTACTTCAAACACACCCTTAGGGGCTTATTTTTTCTATTAAATTTGGAGTGTTAATATTAGTTATTAGATTAACTTTAAAGTAAAATTTAAAGTGATCTCAACCACGAATAGTAAAAGTCATTTTGTTTATTTTTTAAGATTTAAATTGTAAGTTACTTAATTATATAGATATTTTTTTTTGGATAGAGTTAATTTTAAATTGTCCACTCTAAGTTTTAGTCAAATTGTAATCAACTCCCTCTTAGTTCTAAATTCAACAAATTGTTCCCTAAACTATGAAAATTGTTTCACTTTTAGATGTAGAACGGAATTTTCCAAACAAATGTTAGTTTGTCAAGCCATGAAGTCCAATGGAAGCAAAGCCCATAAACTTTTAGATGTAGTGATTAGCTCTACTTCACTATATGTTTCATTTTATTATAGTCATAGTCAAAATATGACTTGATTTATTAACATTATACGAAATTAGAGAACTTGTATTTTTTTTCAGTCACATATTTTGTAAACAAGTTGACTTAATACGATACGAATCCGGTATCAGACAATTTGTTAGACAAAAATTTATAAACAAATTGGATATAAATAAAAAAAATTGACACAAATTCGTTAAAATTTGATACTATTGACAACTTTAATCACAATCCATAGATGTACCAAACTGCAAATGACAAGGATGAATGTGAGAATATTCGCGCATGATTTCTTTTATTTTTTTTGACTTTCTCAATCATATATTCTTAAAATTTCGTGTTTGATAGATAAATTTAGTTGTATTAAACAAAATATTATCACGAAATTCAAGTTTGGGTTTAAACTGAACTTTTTATAAGCAGAAGGGTGTGAAAAGCCACCCAGTGGTGTCTATTTTCAGAAAACAAAAAGCAATTACAGTTTTTGCCTATTAACAAATGAGTAGTGCTATATATCTCAAATTTATAACTTAAATTTGTATCCCAAATCAAGGAGGACCATTAAATTAGTGGGTCCCATCAATTTTTTTAAATAGAATCCACTGATTCAATGGTCCTCATTGATTTGAAATACAAATTTAGGATACATATTATTACTCTTAACAAATACTTTAGTATGCTTTTGGTTGCCTTTAATCAAGTGCAAAATCATATACAGATTTGCCTTAAATATTCTTTCACATCTCATTTAATTTTTTAATTTTAATTTATTAAGTCCATTCTATTTATATATACTCAATAATAACTAAGTTCACCCCATTCGTAGATAAACTATTAATAATAAATTATTAATATTCACCTATGCATAAAAAAAATATTATACATTTAAGATATTCCTAATAAATATCAAACAAAACATAAAATATAAGAATAAAATATTTATTATTTAGAATGAATATTAAAAACCTAAAATAAAATGAAAGTAGATGAAACATTCTATTTAACTTATAATCAATACAAACATATATTTCACTTGAAAAATTTATGGTAGAAAGCTTAAGAGGTTTGAGAACTAAAAATCATTTTTTAAATACAAATTATTTCGAGTTAGCCCGTTTTAATTACATCCCAAACCAAAAATGCAAAGCGCATGCGGAACAGGCACGGGAAAAAAGAAGTGCGCTATTGGTGATATTTATATACCATTGAATAATATAATAATGTATAGGAAAATAGAGAGCCAAAAATAATAATATATATATCTATCTATATTACTAATAAAAGTATGTTGAATGAAAAATTTTTAATTTACTATTTTACCCTTATAAATTTTTTAAAATAAAACACTATCTATCTTTCTATAGTTAAATTATGTTATATTTAAAAAATATATGCATTATAACAGTTTTCGATAATACGTTTAAAATTTTTTCATCCATCTAATATTATTCATTTCAAATATAAAGATAATATTATACTTACATATATGTATTTTTTTTATCCAAAATTCCAACCATTTCATTTTTAAGATAAAAAAATAATCTTTCACATAGTTTTTTTTTTAAAAATAATTTATGTTAAATCAACATAATGCTTTAATCATAGTAAACTTTTCATGTTTTATTAAAAATTTATATAAAAATAGATTATAGTGTATTTTTATGTAAAACTTGAATTTTAGAATTTTAATATTGTTTTAAAATATATATTATAGAGTAGTATATTATATTTTAGGGCTAATAGAACTTTTAATTCCTAAAGTATACATATATTGATCAATTCTATCAATTCGATCCTTAAAGTATTTAGTTAGTGTTTAAATAATTCATATTCTGTTAAGTTTTTGACATAAGTAATCACGTACTGGTTACATGATACTGATTAAACGAATGACACGTGGTCATTTTCATCAAATAAGTTAATGGACCATCTGGTTAATGACCATTTAAACAAAAATTGAATATTTTATGGACAAAATCCATATATTGAGGACTAAATTAATAAAGCATATACTTTAGAAACCAAAAGTGCTATTAAGCCTATATTTTATCCCTATTGACCTAATTGATTCTTAATTATAGTAAATATTAATTAGAATATTAATAAATATTTTTATGTTATTCAATAAATTATAAGTTAGGAATCAAATCAAATGATTTTCAAATGAATTATTTTTATCTTTTTTTCTTATATTTACTATAACAAAAAATCGTTGGGAACAAATAATTTTTTTCAAACTCTATAATATAATACGAGTGATACAAACATAATTATGATAAACTTGAGATGATATTTTAGGTACACATATACTTAATATTTTTTTATTAATATTATGTATACGAAATTTATTTACGTGTGTTACAGTAAATTTTAAAGTATGACTTAAAAAACACAAATGTTAGAGAAATGAGATAGGAAGAGGTTAATGGGCGAGAAGAAAACAAGGTATACTTTAGTTATTAACATGTGGGTATAGACGAGATTAGTAGTTTGAGATTGAGCGTGAGAGTAGCCCCACCCTTAACTACGCCCTCATTGCCTATAAATAATGGTCTATGGTTCCACGAGAGAGAGAGAGAGAGAGAGAGAGAGCAGTATGGCGGGAAATGATATGAAGCTTGTGGTGATGGCGATGATTTTGATCATGATAGGAGAAGTTGCTGCTGTGAAGGCGGATAACCGGTGCATGATGAAATGCCAGATAAAGTGCCTTCCCCGCATACGCCCTCTGTGCGTTACCGAATGCTTGAAAAACTGCGACAAGCAGCCACTTCTGGACGTCTTCTCGGGTTGTACATCTGACTGTGCATATTCTGTGTGCTCCAAATTCACATCAGGTACGTGTATATATATATATCTCTAAGCCATTATGTGCATCATCGTGTGTGGATAGAGATTGCGTTAACTAGCACAATATCATAAATGGCAAGATAGAATTCATTAGAACATAATAACATAGAATGAACGAATTTAGAAAGAGTTGGTCTGGCTTGTGAATCCTAAAAGCAGTTGTATTTCCCTACGTGAAGGTACACAAGGATATTAATGACTCTAAGATTCAACCCAAATGTTCACAGCAGTATTTTCTCATGATCAATTGAAAATACTTAAAAACAATAGGGAAGGGAAAAAATTATATGAAGAACAAACAAATTAAGTAGGCAAAAGACTGCAGGTAGGTTGCATATACAGGCTATGGGTTATCCAACACATGCAATCCTCTAGAAGGTTGAGGAAGCAGGGAAGAAGACTATTTGCTATTGGCTCACCCTAGTATCAAGCTTTGGTACTGATTGGGCCATGATGGTTTAGGCAAGGCTAAGAATGGATGGTACATATAACCAGCTTCAACATAAAAGTATTTGAGAGGAAAGATTTCATTTCTCTATTATGATTTCAAGGCTACGACTGATTCATTATCTATTATCTTGACGTCTTGTATGTTTGCAAGGTTGTTTGGAAATCCCATTGCAACGTCATGGGCGTTGTTCATACTCTATTTTGTAATCTTTCAATTCCAATGTAACTTATATAATAAAAGCCTATACGTCATCGACTATGACATTTACGAAGAGTCAATCCCTCAAATTTTTTAGTTCTTGGCCTTTATTTTACACATTATATGCTTGTATGGATAGCTACTAAGAGGGTGTATGGCACGACAAAGTTTTGCGCTATTCCATTCTTGGTGACGGTGATATCCCTTCCATTGGTAGGCAACGAGGTCTAAGAAATATAATAACTACTTATTATACCTACCACGGGTTCCCTAGTCTTGGTTTCTTACTTTTGAATTAGTAACTCATTCCTCTATGTCTGTCCGGCATTCACTCTATCTGTCCAACAAGCTCTCTTTTCCATTTAGAGGGAACTACTAAAGTTTTTGCTTAGGGTTTGTCAATGCCTCACTAAACCCAATCAGCAAAAATATATACATTTTATTTTTTTGGTCTTATATATACATCATATTGACTTGTGCATAGTGTTTCATTGCAAACTTCTTATGGGCTTCCTAATGTTGCAGATGAGAATAAATTGAAAGAGTGTGTGAGTTCCTGCTCCAACAATTGCAACAAGTAGTATAAGTAGTTCTGGGATTTTTCAGCAAGAATGAATATAAGCTGCAGCTGCATTGGGCATTCAACACTCATGGATCCTTTCTTGTTTTTTGTTTTTTTGTTTTTTTTCACTTTTTTTGAAGTATGGATTAGAATGCTTTGCCAAAGTTGCAAACTACTAGTTTGTTGCTGTATAAGTATGGTCATGAAGGGAGTTTCCCACTGAAAATGTAGAGTTATTCTCTTTTTATGATATTGAATTGAAATTTTTTTAGGATAACCTATAAGGACACTTTCAATGAAATATTACGAAAACCTCTTAGAAATTTATGGAATGAGTAATGTCACGCCTCATCCCGGTCTCTCAAGGATAAAACGCGACTAGGTTTTTGATACACCTGTTTACATGTATATAATCTAGATTAATAAAACACTAATTAATCCCACATGTGCAACAATACCACTCATCACCTTAGTTATTAAGCATGATGGTAAACCTGTCTCATAACCTGTACCATATATAATACTTGTACCAATTGTTTGTTTTCACGGTTATAGACAGATACAAAATCCCACACCCACATAGTATACATCACAAAGTATACCTGTTGAGTCTGTTTACAAATATATATATTATTAACCTGCTATAATAATCTCTCATTTAACATAATAAACAACCCAACAAATAATTATACAATCCCTCAACCAGTATCATTTACTCATTTAAAACTAAATACATAACGAACAAAATATCATACTAACATTGTACAAAACACAACCTTTTTGACAGTGGACTGATCTATGTCTCCCTCTCTTGTACCTGAAAAGGAGAAGCTATAGGAGTGTGAGGTAAAATACGCACTCATCGAGTATACATGTTGTATATGAAATGAAAATGATAATAATACACAAAATGAGGCAAATACTACGTAAATATACGTATCAAACAACAACATCAATCTAATTCCAAGAATTTACAAGTCATAACACATCCATAATACCCCTCATCGGGTAATCGATCCCACATGGATCCGTGTCTCCCGAACCTCCCAGGAACACCACAATGCTAGCATACCACTGCACGCCTAGTGATCAAGCATCGACGCTCATGTCTCAGACAGTGCGCCACATTTCACAATACACAATACAAAGCATTATCCAATTACATAAGCACATAACACATAATCTTGGAGAATGCTATTAAATTCTATCATCTAACATCATCTTATAATAGCATTTTCAAAACATATAAAGATATACACCCACCTCAAATATACTGATCTACTGCCCTTCAGTTCTATCGGTGGATCCTTCCGATGTTTTCGTAGTCGTTTCTATACCAACTGTCCTACCTGTTCCACCTAACACATCAATATTAATATGTTGATTACATTGAATAATTAATCATGCACTAATGCATGCAAAATGATTCAACTCAAAGTGTCCCGATAACTCTTGTTATCGCACTGTTCACTCACATACTGACACATTAGATTTATGGATCATATTTTTTTTCTCCAAATCTTTAAAATCACTCACATTCATCACAATTAAAATTTAGTAAGTCAAACACTTTGACCAGGGGCCCATTTTTATATATTTCAACTTCGAATCCCAAAAATTTCACTTTCAATATTTCGTACATTCCGCACCGAATATTATATTCATTTGCTTTTAAAATTTATATTATCACATCACGCATCAATTAAAAATGCAGCATGCAAAATTTTAGGTCATTTGGATTAAAATTCCATACAAGTGCTACTAATATTTAGAAATTAGGGTTTCGGCATTACCGACACCCATTTTCCATTGTTATCATACTTTCTTTTAAAACAATTTTACCTAAACTCACACACTCCCTAACTCATGCCAATCAACCCTTTAATTGGACCTATTAAAAATCACTAAATTATGTTCCACACACTTAAATTAGACTTATAAAAATCTGTTTTAGAATTAAAATAAAACAGACCATTATTTTAACACAAAACAACCCACTAATTATGTTTCATACACTTAATTTAAACTCACCAAAATATATTTTGAAATTACACTAAAACAATTCCACACATATACACAAATAGTGAAAATTAATCACACACACACACACTAAAATGAATACACACATACACATTTATCTTCTTCTTGTTTCCTTCTTACTTTTGGTTGGCATGGAGTCCCCCAAATTCTTTTTTCTTTTTTTTTTCTTCTTCCTCTCTTTACTCTCCCCCACTCACAGTTTCATATAGCCTGAACACACACACACACACTTGTTTGTCTTTTAAATACATTCACTTTACTTCATATTAAAGTACACACACACATTGTTCCATGCAGTACACACACACACACACACTTTACTACACCTTAAGACACACACAAACACTTGGCATACACACACCCACATATATAACTTTTAAAAATAACCCACCATATTTTATTTGACACATGTGTAAAGATATTTCAATGCAACTTAATAATTTTACTTGTCTCCCTCCAAATTCTTAAGTGATTCCAAAACCAACCCGATATTATTTTCATACACAAAATTCTATCTAACAATTAATTTCATATAATTGCAATTAGTCCACATAATTATATTAATATGTATGCAATGCATGATTGGGTCTCACAAGTAATATTTGATTCAATGGAAAATAGGTGTTGTGTGTGTAAACATTGTGTTCTGTAATTGCCATTTTGGCCAATGCACCGTCAGGATAGAATCCATATGAAGGAGACCCAAGATATCAATTTATCAAAACCTGTGTCTTGCAGTTCCATGTAAAGGAAAATGCTACATTAATCAAATGAAATCCAAAAATTAAAACTCAAATACATATTATCCCTTGGATGAGTGTGGGATGAATGAACTTCACTAAAAAAATTGATGGAACCCACTCATCTAAGATATGATATGCATTTGGGGTATAACTTTTTGGGTTTTGTAGCATTTCTCCATGTCAAATTCTTGTGCAATGCTTCTTTATTCAGTCTCAAACTAGAATACTGGATGAACCCCAAGGGATAGCATAGTGGAGACACGGATGAACTATAAACTTAGACATCATGAGTTCGAAAATTGACAATTCTCTTGGGGTCAGGCCATGATAAATTACTTTTCATGAATTTCTTAGTCTTAACATAGATAATTTACTTTTGATCAGACTAGAGAGGAGATTAGGTTTTTTTTTTTTGATCAGAAGCGAAACATCTATATAAAACTATGTAGGAAAATTCAAATTACAATCCAACAAAATAGAAGTCTTAAGCTCGAGAGGGGGGAGCATAACCAGTCAAAAGGGGGGGAACTGGTCAGTTTAGCAACTCCCACCCAATGAGCAGCCCTATTATAGGCTCTAGGCTTGTGTAAAAAGCTCAGGTTATGAACCTTGGCTAAAAATCTAATGTCATTCAAAATTACATGGAAATCCCAAGAAAGAACATCCTTAGTAGAACTTAACTTAATAATACTAATACAGTCATTCATAATAGAGATTAGTTGAGTTACGTATAAACTGACTCAGACATATTTATAAAAAAAAAATGGAATACTGGATGACAACTTTGAAGGTCATCTGTACAGTGTTAAACTAGGGTTTTAAATAAAAATTGTCCTTTAGAAAGATAACCAAAAAAAAAAGTCAAGCGAAATTAATAGAAAATAAGTTAAAAACAATGAGGACATCAATTGAAAAAGAAAGTCCATCAGGCATAAAATGAGCAAAGGAGGACATGATCAAGTTATAAATTAAGATAAGCTGAATAATTGCCACAAAGTTTGGTTAAAATCTAGTGTTAATAGCAATTTTGATTCATAAAGTATGGACAATTTATCAGTTTAGTCCATAAAGTATTTAATTCATGTTTAAATGGTTTATATACAGACGGACCGTTAAGTTTTTAACGGAATAATCACGTGTTAATTATGTAATATCATCTGAAAGAATGATATGTGGTCACTTTCGTAAAAAAAAATTTAACAAAATTTCTGGTTATGGACCAAAGTGACACGAATTGAAACTTTACGGATCAAATTAATAAAATTAATATAATAAAGATCTGACAAAATAAACATACTTTAAGGAATAAAAATACTATTAACGTAACTAACCCTAAAATGTATGTGAAAACATCTCATTCAAGGAAAATCCTTACCAAAAAATTTTGCCAATCCTTTCATATCAAATGATGTGGCACAATTTTTGTCATTAAATATTAATGAGACTCATTTATCTGATGGTGAAAAATTGTACCACGCCATTTGAGATAGAGATTTGGTAAAACACTACAAATGACAAGGATGAATGTGAGAATGAGCATTATTTCTTTCCCTCATAATCTAGGCAGAATTCTATTCTTATCCTTGAAATTTTGGAGAAAAGTGAATGATTGCGACAATGTGAAATTAAAACCAATAGTTCAAGGTGCGATGCAAGAAAGTGAATTAGTTCAGGGGATAATACAAAACGAGAAGTGTAGTTCAAGATGTCTAAGTTTAATTTACTCCTAAAGTATTATTAATCACTAAAACCTTCTTTTGAATATTACAGAATGAATTATTATGAAAATTACAGTTTGTTTCCCATTTCCAAATACTTTAGGACCCTTTTGGGTGCCTTTAATTAAGTGCAAATCTCATACAGATTTGCTCTTTTTGGCCAAGAGATGAAAGCCCAGTTAATTTTCACACTTACTTTACTAAGCCCTCTCATTGCCTATAAATAAAGGTCTATGCTTCCGAGAGAGAGGGAGAGAGAGAGAGCTATGGCGGGAAGTGACCTGAAGCTTGTGGTGATGGTGATGGTGTTGATCATGGTAGCAAGAGTTGCTGTGAAGGCGGATCACTTGTCTACGGGTTGCATTATAAAATGCCAGATGGAGTGCATGTTCATTAGCCGCCCTCCATGCGTTGCCGAATGCTTAAACAAATGTTCTGGATGCCGTCTCTGATTGCACATTCGACTGCGCAAATTCTATGTGCACCAAATTCACCTCTGGTACGTGTATTCATATGCCTAACCCATTCATCTACATTTGTATCCTCATGGGTCTATATGCTGGGATATTAGTCATATGACTATGGTACCAGCATAGTCATTACTGTGTCACAATTCATCATAGTTCTAATTCTATTTTAGTTTGGATGATTTCTTAACCATTGAAAAAATAGGATTCAGTCTGTTGTAGGATAGTCTTTTCACATTCTTCTTGACAGTAAGAATTGAAAGGTAGCGAGCATCAGGAGAGAGATAGTAAAGGTAAAGAGTTTTGAAGTTCATCTATTTCTACAAAGTTGAGGTGTTGCAATTGTATTCAATGGAGTGAGTCTCCTCAGAATTTGAAGCTGGGACTTGGGAGAGGAGGTGTCGTGGTGGGAAGAGTTGGAAATACTATTCAAGGGAACCTTGCAATATCTCAATTTAAGCTATATTAATCTCAAGGTCTGGGTATATCATTGAGATAACAAGCCATAGCTAACTTGCTGATTATAGTGGATTGGTTCAAAGTTATCTCATGGCTTCTCTCTCCTCATCAGGAGTGGCCCCAGACATTTTGACGCAAACAGGCTTTTTTCTAATATTAATAATAAATTTATTTTTTCAAATACAAAAAATATTAATTAAGTTTTTATTTTCAAGCTTTTGTTATCATAATTGAAATTTATGGTAAGAGAGAGAAGGGGAGGAGGAGAGAATGATTGAAAAATTATGACGATAAATTTAAATTTAACTTTTTTTGGGGTTAAGACTTCATTATTATTATTATTATTTGTCTTTTTATTTTTAAAAATTTGAATTTTAGGTTGTTTTAATTTCATGGTGAATTAATAGGCTCAGTCCTCTCAAGTTAAAATATTTTGTTTGAACTTAAATCTAAGTTTTTCGTGGGACTTACTTCTTATGGATTTTAATTTTTTGTCGAGACTATTACTACATACCTAAAATTTATAGGATCTTCCTTAAAGTGGAGTCTACAGTCCAGACTTTATTGACCTAGTGGTTGGTCCGCCCTGCTTCTAATTAGAGAGTTTTTCCACGGGCAGATTCGTGGTTGTTTTGTGGAACTGTTTACTCCTTAACACTCAAAGCTTTGTTATAACAGTGCTACTTCAATTAGTTGTGTTTGATAGCCGTTTGAGCAGTGTTCAATTACTGACTTTCACAGAAGATTTTAGTGTTTTTTTTTCTTTATTATTCTGACCCCATCAGCAAATATATACATTTGATTTTTTTTGGTCTTATATACATGATACTGGCTTGCGTATAGTTTTTCATTGCAAACTTCTTACGAGCTTTCTAACGTTGCAGATGTGAATAAATTGAAAGGATGCATTAGTACCTGCTCCAAGAGTTGCAACAAGTACAAGTAGTTCTTACGAAATGATACAATGCGCTATGCAGATGTGAATAAGCTGGTGGATGCATAGGGCATTCAACAATCATGGATCCTTCGTTTGTTGTTTTAATAAAATCGTTCTTTAAAAGGATTAATCGAAAAAGAGTGTTCATAAGGTATAAAATGAGCAAAGGAGGACAGGATCAAGTGATAAATCAAGAGGAGTTGAATAACTGCCACAAAGTTTAGTTAAATTGTATGTGAAAGCATCTCAAGACACATTCAGGAAGCCTGTGAATCAACACATTGAACTGCCCCATGACTGCCTTAACCTGTTCCAATCTACAACTATAACAATTAAAAGGACAGGAAATGGAATATGTACGAATAAGTTGTTGACAGAACCCAATCCTATTGAACCGGCAACATTGAATTCTGATGCATAAACCAAAGCAATGATTCGATGGACACGTGTAGAACCATGTTTTGCATTCCAAGTCTCCAGAACCATACATTATGCAGTCTGAACCAGGGTTTACCAAAACGAACAGGAAGACCATCTAAGGTTACTGAAGTGAAAAACAACAAAATGGATAGGACTTTATAACTCTGCTGTAAGGGCTTACAACTGACCAACTCTAAACAGTTTTTTTTTTTTTTTTTATGTTTTCTTATTCCACACAAGGAAGAAAATGAAAGGACAAGCCACCAGAGGTCACATATCCTTCTGACCATAAATACGATTCTCTGTGCACTATTACGAACACCTCTAATCATCCGATGCCTTTGGAGAATTTTCTGGAGTCTTCAGACCAACAGCGGTCTTAGCTTTGTGTTCAGTGACAGTTGCACAAAACTCTTCAACTATCATAGCGTCCTTAAACTTCAAAGCAAATGTAGAAAGACCATCCTTCTCTTCACCAATACTATTTACACAGGCAAAAGTGATGCCTTTCTTGTCCATATTTGTCAGCTTCATGTCTGGATAAAGACTGGCATTTAAAATCAACCGATAATTTCCTCTGGCTCTCATAATGAGTCTAGCTCTGCCAGCTCCAATGGAGGAAACACTGACCTTGAGTTCTCCCTTTCCCCGTTCCTTCCAACCTCCATCAAGAAACTCAAACAGCACAGAATCAGCAGTGAAGACAGCTTTCTCATTCTCTTCCCCTGTCTCAACAGAAATCTCCTGCATGGACCTTCCATCATTCTTACTGACAATGGATGGCCCCGGGTTGCCAAGGAGAGAAGAATTTCCATTATTAGGAACACCAAAACCAAAAGAAGGCCGATCACTTTTTAGTCCAAGAAGAGAACCATAATTAGACCCTAGGGGAGACCCATTTTCCTGAATTGAACCAAATGAAAATTTAGAACTGGAAAACCCAGTTCCAGCCAGTCCAGTAAACGCATTTTTACTGCTCGAAAGCTGTTGAAATGAGTTAAAAGAAGATGCAGTTTCAGCACTCTTCTCAACAGTTTCATTACTCTTCTCTTTATTTTCTTCAATCTCAGTTCTCGTGCCATCTGTATTCTTTTCTTTGCTATCAGTTTTAGTGACCTCTGCCGCCTTTTCATCAGCTATTTCAGGATTCGTTGCCTCATTAACAATATCAGAATTCTTCTCATTTGCAGTGGATTCAGCATCCACAACATCATCAGTGTTTTCAGTTTGCTTATAATGGTCCTCCCTTTCTTTCTCACTTTCCTTATTCATACCATTTTTCCCTTCTCCTCCCTCGTCTGGAACGGGTTTTTCTCCTGTTTCGGCAGTAATTTCAACTGGAGTAGCAGTTGAAGCAGTAGGAGGGACCAGGCGGATCCCTGCAAAAGGATTGGAAGAAGGGGCTGATGACGTCTGCTGGCGACGAACTTTGACAATTCTTCTACCTGCCAGCACCTCATCGCTTGCTCTCTTGAAAGATCTGCTGTCTTGTTCAGAAGCATCTTCCTCATCATCAAGTTCAGGGTTATCTCGGGATAATTGCCTTCCAGCAGCTCTCTTCTTTGAAGGTGGAACAGCATTTTCTGCATCCCCCATTGGGCGGTACAATAAACAAAAGAAGGCAAGAACACTCTACTCAACAAATGGGAATAAGGTGATTTCTGCATGAAATTACACAATCATCAGTAATCAGAGAAGCCACATGAATGAAGTACACACACTGCTTCTAAGACTATGAAATAAACTACAGAAATACAAAATTGAGTGATGTGAAAGAGTTGGAAATAAAAGCAAAAATATTATAGGTAATGCCTACATCAATAAATGGCTTTCCAATTCATCAAAAATATTCCCTTTTTTTTTTAAAAAAAAAAAAAAAGAAGCTTCTGTATTGTATCCATTGATATGATGCACACAAGCACTAGAACAAGCTAGGAGTAAAAGAACATCTATTTATATTTTAAATGATAATTATTTCATCTTCCACTATTCTACAAAGAGGTATTAGCAGCATATCTGTGTCTCAAAATACCACCAACTTCACTATTCAAGAAATGTTCCACAAGAACTATACGGTTCAAATACAATCAAGAATTGAAACTAACTGACGCATTAAACAATAAACCCCATGAAAATCACTATTTAAGAAGTACAACAGAAATTCAGTGGACAAATTAACCGTAAATCAAGCTCTACCTACTGATTTAGAAGGATTCAATCTCCCATTTTCACAAAGAAACAACAGGGCAAAGATATTGAGAGAGAGAGAGAGAGACCTAGCAGGCCGTGTTCTTCAATTCGTGTGGCTGCAGAGCTGTAGGCGTCGTAGTGGGAAGGGAAGTTCTTTGTCTAGTTGATCTATGAAAACCCTAGACCAAGAGCCAACGAATACTAAAACGACAATGGATTTTTTTTATTTACTCAAAAAAAATAAAATGTTTATCAATAAAATAAAATAAAATGACAATAGATTTCTGAGTGATTGGACAAATTTCCCCCATTGTCTAAATGAACACGTGGTTGCGGCCAAACGACTCAAATTAAAATTTAGGGTTAATTACAAAATGTATTCCAAAAGATCTCTCGAATGTTAATTTGTATTTTTAAAGATTAAAATTTTGAATTTATATCCTCAAATATATAAATTCATATCAATATTCACCTAAAACTAACCATCAGTTTGTCGTCTAAAATTAAATAGGTAAATTACAAATAAACATTCACAAGATTATCACTTAATTATTAGAACCCTAACATTTAGAATATTACACCTACACCTGCTAACGTTTATGTGGGTGTAACACACAATTCCTTGTTGTCAATATCTGCTGATGTAATTGTTAAAAAATATGATGTTATTCTAATAAATAACTATATTTTTCTAGTACCTTTTATTTTTTGTGGATCCGTTGTATTCTAAAATTCAAAATCAAACTTTTTCTTTGAATACTCAATACAATGCATGTACCACTATTCTACAATTGAATTTGTTGGATGTTCCACTTGTTTGATTGAAATCTCATTCATATGCAATTCGTACTAAACTTTTGTCCGATATTTCATGTTGCATGTCTATCAGCACAATTATATCATTTATCTCTTTCCACTACCTTCCATTCATTACCTTCCTTCATCACTACTATTCTTCTGTGCTCTATTTAAAGATCTTTTTTTTTTTTTTAATATAATTAAATTAAGCCAGCAAATCGTAAAAAAGGTAGCTCGGAGCATCTAATATATTACTTTTCCAATGTGATTCTAAGTAAAATATCCAATTGAACCTTTATTACAAGGATCCGATTATAATATTAAAAATTAATTTTTCAACGTCATACTTCCTCATTTTAATCAATAAAATCATGACCCAAACAAAATTCTTATTTTTCTTTTGCCCCTTCTTTTTCCAGATTTAAAAATAGGCAAGAGAATTAGTATAAGCTGTTGTCACCCCAAGATTCTATGAATGCAGTTACGGATCTCATTTGAAATATTTAGCTGCTTATATAAATAGTATACTCAACAAAGCTTTGTCAAAATATTTTTGGGGTCGATAGACACGAGTGAGTTAATTTTGTGAGTTTGTATATCATAACCTATGCGTTACGCCGAGAAACCTTTGGTAGCCATAGCCTTGTGTTGACCTGGCAAACTCCGATTGGAAACTCACCACCCGAATCTCCCGGCAATGAAACAAAAATCAATGAAACCAGAGAATAACATTTGACAGGTGACAAACTGTTCCGACTTTACCCAAACAAAAACAAAACTGATTGATTTTAGCCATATCAGTTAATATATAAATGTTTCTACACTTGTGGCAAGTAAAAATTTCACATTAAAAAAAAAAAAAAAAGGCTTCAAAGAATATGATATATATATGAGCAACTAAACTAAGTAGCTGAAGCGAAAAATACTGGCTATGGTATGTGCCCTATAAAAGATTCAATGTGCTACAAAATCACACCACTGGCAGAACAGACATCCGGTCCCACGATCATCTCCAGGAAACCTGAAAGAAACATAAAGGTAAGCAAGAAGGACAAAAATCCAATTAGATATCAAAGCAAGTTTGCAAATGTATAGAACTAATAATTCTAGCAAATCATGAAGGCATGGTCATTCCAGAAAGAAGCCGCCAGATATTTTGAAGAAAGGCACAAGATGCACAACTATGTTCCTCAAGTTAAGCTGTGAAATTCTGAAGGAAGTACTGGAATCTGCAGACACTAATTCATCATAGTTTTTATGTTAGCTTCTAGCAGAAAGAAAACCTGAATTCAATCATAGCATTTCCTGAATGCACTTGCAAATAACTCAAAATATTATTTTCTCCAAGCACACAGCCATCTCCTACTGTGGATCATTGACTAACTGAACAATGAAACTAGCAAGGATAGAAACTAGGGGGAAAAAGTTCACAGAGCACCTCAAGGTAAATAAATAACTAAGTCAAATAAAATATGATGCTTCAATTTTTCAGATCAAAGAACAGCGTTTCGAGAAATTAGATGCAACAATTTCCTAGATTTGTTATGCGGATTTAGACAGTAATGATATTCCCTTGGGATTTAGACGTCAATACAAATAAGGCAGATAATCCATGATATTGGTGTTTCAAGGATGTATAGATAAAAGGGGTGGCATTGGTAAATAAGTAAAGAAATGAAAATATGGAAAAAAAAAATCATTTAATGCAGTAACACAATTCACACCTTCAGAAGGGGATGGATAAAGCAGGAACCGACTGTCTTGACTGGACCTAGTGATGTGCGGTAAGCACTGCCAAATCAGCATAAAGAGGAGAAAATAAGAGCGAGACACAAGCACATTCAGCTTCCAACATGTCCTACAATAGTACAAACTCCAAATAAGCGGTTCATGGGTGGGTGCCAGAGGGGGGAAAAAGGGAAGAAAGAAAGAAAATAGAAATAAATAAATTTTACAAAAAAGGACAATAAAATCACATAGCACTCTCGGATTTCAATGCTCATAAAAGGAGGAAGATAACAAAGTTTAGCCACAATTCAGAACCAGACATTCTGTACAGACGTACAATTGGCAACATGATACTCTCTCCACAAATACGAAAAAAGCCATTTACAACTTAACGTACGGTTAACTTTCTTACCCAAGATTTTTAATTAACAAATACCACTGACCTTAAAATTCTTGTTAGTTGTTAGTACTTTTCTGATTCAACTAATCATATTTGTAATTTCCATGATGGTCCCTCAAATGAGCTGATACTTGAAATATCAACAAGCATATAGCAAGCACCCCCAAAAAAAAATGTGAAACCAAAACTTGAAAATGTGAAAATGGAAGGCAGAACATGGCAATTTAGAGATATTCAATTAATCACCAGCGACAAAATCAGGATTTTCACACTCGCCCAACCAATTGCTTTTAGGCTGACGGATTTCCTTCGTTATTCGTACCCCACTCTTCATCAGCCTCATTACCGTTGACGAGCACTGCACCACCATCTGTAGAATCAGTATCCACCACAACAGCCTCTTCTTGCACCTCTTCCTGACCATATTCTTGACCCTCATCTCCATTCTGTTCTGCAACCTGTAGAAGAAGAAGAAGAAGAAGAAAAAGGAAAAACAAAACCAAGGTCCAAGTCAGAAAATAAAAAATAGAGCAACAAGATACAGCCAGCATATTTTTAAGGATAAGATAATCAAACCGCAATAATATTGGAAACAACAAACAATTTGGAACATCCGGGTTGGAGTCACTTTTCAAACAAGCAAACAAGTCTTTGAAGGTTCAAAAAAGTAATAATAGAAACACAAACCATATTTTGAGGATAGAAAAAGTATGGCAGAGTATACCTCATAATCCAACTTCCCATTTTCAAGTGGCTCATCTTCATTCATTCTCATGTTTCTGAAAGTCTCCACAAGGTTTACATTCGACCTATTGGCGTAGTTTACATACTCCTCTGCCGGCAGATAAGTACCCCTGCAAAACAATTTTAGGAGGTAAATCCAATTGCAAATACCAATACAACTCTTGCTATGCGTACAGCTCCTAATTCATAAATTAAGGCGACTATCATTGAATATGATACACCAATGGCTAACCATGCTTCAAAAACTTCCCAAAAGTAGACACATATTGGAGGCATTGCCCATTAGCATTAAAAAGTAACACAAAATGAAGTTTGGATATGTTTTTTCATTTTCTTTTCTTATCGTGTTCTTTTGTGTTTTGTGTTTTTTTTTTGGGGGGGGGGGGGGAGCACCGATATTAACGCTAAGTTGATGAACTAAATTGGAGATATCACACATCTACATGACAAGGCAGGTTAATCAAACAGTAACAATATCACACAAAAAAAAAAGAAAAGAAAAGGAAAGGCAGTAGTAGGTCGCTAAATGGAACCTTGTCTCTGCAACTTTTGATTCGACGGCAAGTGCAACTTGCCAGTCCTCAAACAAATTAGGATACTCTTCTGGATCAGCCAAAGATTCTGAAGCTTTCTGATTGACCTGCAGATGATATTTAACCGTCATAAATGCTTTTCATAGATAATTCAGAGTTCATCATTCAAGCCATTTGCATATTAATATTATCATCATATCATAATGAAGATTTTTATTTATTTATTTTGGGTTGGGGGGCGGGGGGATGCTCCTTAATGAAAGCGCCATTTGGAATGCAGTACAAAGCATGTCCAAACTGGTGGAGGAGGGGGTGTTAAGACCTTAATATCACGTGTGGCCTTTCTAGCTTTTGCCTACAAAATTGTTCAACCTATCCTTCAAGAAGAATTTAACAAGAACAAATTGAAAACATTAAGATATAGATGACACATAAAAACTTAAGTTACTTTGACAACGTAAAAATGGTCTGCCAAAGAGTTATGTGATGCACTCAACACTTATGAAGACTCCTGTACAATAGGTACTATTAACTTTTATAGACTAAGCCAAAACGGAAGTTGTTTTTCCTAAATCATGAACCTGAAGGAAACCTGTAGTCACTGCAGTTTTCTTGAAAGCATGTAAGCCTTTGACCTGGGGAGAGAATTAGTCGAGGTACGCGTAACTAGTCGAGGTACGCGTAAGTTGGCCCGGACCCTAATCGTTGAATCAAAAAAAAAAAAAGCATGCAGGCCAAAATTCTAGAGAAAAAGGTCCAAGTCATCTCTAGCCTATACAGTCAACTTCATTTAATCTCTGAAAACTCAGCTGATCCAAGCTCTCAATTGGAAAAATAACAAGAACAACGACAAAGACAGGTGAATGATAGTCACCTTATTGAGGTCTTTTCTCCAAATTGCAACTATTTCTGAAACCTTGCTTGGAAGATAAGATCGAGCCATCAAAGCAGCCTCAGGTATCCGATTGCTACATAGAGATTACACTTCAGAATAGCACCTGAATCAACTAAATATGCCTACAGGTTGTGTAAGCAGGGAAAAAATTTACCTATCAACCAGTAGCTGCAGACAATCTTCCAATTTACCCAACATAAATAGACACAGGAATGCAACATTGTTTTTTCCATTCTCTTTGGCAATGGATGCAAGTTCTGATATTCCTTCAGCATCTCCAAGAGAAGAATACAGTAATAACAAACCACTCAAGTCATTCGCATGCTTTAAACATTCCTCTGCCATCTCCAACTGAAAAGTATCAGAAGAAATGGAATAAATAAAAAATGAAATTCGTGAGAAGCAAGAACAAAACTTATTGAGAAATGATTAGAATAAAACTCGCATTTTTTGTGTCAGTATAAAGTTGGCATGAGTTAATAAAGTACGTATACAATCTGCATAATATACAGAAAAAAAACTTGCTGTCAGAAATTTAGATCTATGCAGAAATCTTGTTCAGAAACTTTAACTTTTCATCTTTTCCTATCAAAGCAGAAAAATGTCTTGATACGAGCAAGTTAGCTTAGCCACAAATTAAGCAATAAATATTTTTTCATTGAAGATAAAATTGTCTGTCCAGACTTCAGGGAAAAAAATACTCCCAGAAACTTTTTGAAAAAACATAATATCACACTGGTCAGCACATCATCTGGTAACAAAGATATTTCAAACAGGAAGCACACAACAGTAAAAATGTTTTCATGGTGGAAGAGTTTTTTTTAAGCTAAGGCAATAGATGACCCATCTAAGGCAAAAGAATACCCTTCCAGTGGAAATGGCCAATTCACCCAACTGCTTCCATTTGGACTCACTCTCTGCTACTGAGGCAATGTCCTGTTATCAGAGAAGAAAATGAATGGGTAATAATCAAGAGGACAAACAATGTTACAAGGTATGTGTAATTCTTCAAAAGCACTTACCTTTGCAATCTCTAGTCTACCCAGCTGTATGGCTAGCTCAAATCTGTAGTCGGGATCAGTTGCAACCTCCAATGCATCCTCTATCATTCCTCGTGATTCCAAGAAACGAGCCACACTAACAACACAATAATATCTCCCATTTATATCCAAGACGCATCCCAAATTTTGCATCTTTAATAAAGGAAGGGAAATGGCTATAACAATTCAAAAACTACTACAATAAACAGATATGAAGTAGGTTTCTGAGGGAATATTTTCGGATGGCAGTATGTCAGGAAATTAAATATGACTGTTGTGCAGGGCCCAGTTATGCAAGCAAATTATTTAAATCACCACATAAAAGATATGAATGTTCATATCTGCTACTATATGTTAGTAAGCATGAAAAAGTGGTGTCCTTGTGTTTTAGTTTTGTATTGGCTGCACTGATCAATTGACATGCATTTCCAAATCAACATCTGACAATCCATGTTCACAAATCATCAAAAATGCCAGAAAAATTTCTACGAGTGCAAAAGACATGATGAAAAAGGGTCTTTTCTCCAAATTGCAAACAGGCAAAAATTTCAAAAACACACATGTATGCATAATGGCAGCAACAAGAATGACAGAATGTTTTTCCCACACATAAATCTACTTATAATTATCATGCCTTTTAAACAAACACTAAAGTGCTTTTGCTCATCATTGAAGGTAGTCAAACGCGAAAGATACCTATTATGCTGCTCCTTAGCAATTGAGGATAAAACCTCATTCGCCCGTTCCAGGTCACCACGCATCACAAGTGTCTTATACTCGATCAAGCTAAGAAGTAATGTATATCCCATAACACTGCATCAAAAATGACAAAAAGAATAAAAATATAAGTGTGGTGATCTTAACTGTTGCTGCTTTCAAAAAATAGATGACAAAAGTCACTCACTTGAACTCTTTGTCAATGAGATACACCCTACTTTGATTGGCTAGATATCCCAGCAGGTACATAGGCCGGTCCAAATGAAACATTGTGGTTACCTAATGCATGAAATACGTGGCTTCCTTGAATTTATTAAAATTGTAAATAAATTTCGAATACATGAAGCATATAGGCACAACAATGAACCATATACCATACCTCACCACCAACACAGTAATTAAGTCTCCAGGAAGAGTTGTTGTAAATGAAACAATCACCAACCCATATCCCAGTCCTGACTCTTTCATTTATTTCATAAAGAAGCTCAAAGGCATCTTCAACACCTTGTTCGTCAACTGATCTTCCACTGTCTAGATGCGCAGAAACTACATCGCGCTGTAAGATTTAAAATCCAATTTTGTAGTCAATCACATTTTTAGAACAGAAATGGCATAAGAACAAAAGTTTCAAGTCTATTACAAAATGTACCCAGATGAATTAGAATCCTCACATTGTATTTTAGTATGTAGAACGATGTATCACTGGCAATGGCTACCAAATCACCGCTATCAGCCCAGTAGAGGTTCTGAGGCAAGTAAAAGTACAAAAAAGAAATGAATGTTTCCTGCAACATCTCAGGATACGTTAATGAGTGAAAATAATTATAGGTATCCATTACTTACTTTGACATTAACGTCAATCCGTCGAACCAACCTGCAGTCAGCCCAGTCATAAAAACAAATGAAATCATTTGAGCACATTGCCAATAAAGTTCCACCGTATACATGCTCAGCAGAAAATGTTGGTCGGATGCTCTTCTTTTCCTGAAAAGATGTTGACAGAAAAAAAAAAATTGGGCCTTATAATAAGGTCAAAATTCAAGACGTGAATGTATTTGGCAAATTTATAAGAACTCCAGAGAATCAGAAGCACAAGTTCAGCAAAGATGTTGACGAGGCACTTCAAGATTGCTATAAAGTTTTTCAGCAGCAAGTCGAATATTTTTCCAAACATTCCACGTAATAAAATTTAGGTTTCAAGATAAAAGCGGGGTGAAGAAGGCAGGGAACAAACTAGATTAAAGCTTTTCAGCAGCCAGTGGAATATTTTTCCAAAACATTCCAAGTAAAAATTTTTGTGTTTGAGGATAAAAAGGGGTGAAGAAGGCAGGGGCAAACAAACTAGAAAGAAGAATACAAACCTGGAAATTTTTACTAAAGATCTTAATCTTTGAAGTACTCTCTCTGACAGCATATTCACCATCTGAAGACCAAGCAAATTCCAATGCTGAGCCAAAGGACCTATTTCTCCAAGCCAAAGCTGTGTATATTATGTATTCACCATCTCCACAAACGACAACAAACCTCCCATTGGGGTTATGCTTCAAACTCTGACAAAATAAAAAGAAAAGGAAGAAATAATGTCACCAAATTTAAAACATATACTGTGGTACTAATATGAATTCGATCCAGCATTTGTCAGTAACAGTGTCGAGAATCTGATGAATCCCAACAAGAAGGATTTTTTTGGTGTAGAAAGGAACAGCTAGCAGCAAAATTACAAATGAATTTGAATGGAAACTAAACAATGATAATATTTTACCACTGTAGGACAGTAGGAGTACCTATATTAGTATATTTAAATACAAATTTTAGAGCTTGTGGTTTTTCTTCTGTATACTACCAACCTTAAGTTTCATCTTTCTCTCTATTTTCTCATTCATAGCATTTATAAGTGTGTAGAGAGTACATTGAAGATCAAGTGCTTAAAATAGCACAATCCCCATAAAACAGAAATGGAATAACGGAAAATATAACCAGTTCAACCAAGGTTTAAATTTATTACATGGAGTTTCTATGGGGAATTCAACTACCCAAGTCTATGGCACAAATTTTTCTGAAGTTAACAAAATATGGTGACATTCACAATGTAAGAATGTTAGTATGTCCAAATATATTGGGCTTGCAAGAATTACATATACACATACACTTTAAGTGATGCACACACACGGACTCATGTGATGAGAATAACTAACAAACAATAGTAATGTTATACGATGAAGAACTGCTATCAGATGCTTAGCACATGTACAGGAGAATTATAGAGTAGTACTACTCCCACAATGATCAACTTAGCAGGTGATAGGCCAAATCTATCTGACAACTAATCAGAAAATATTTATCCAATCAAAAAATAAGCTAACTCACTTGTGGATATAGATCACAGGTTCCCAACTCTTTAACTGCCAGAGGCAATCTTTCTCCATCAGTGAGCTGAGAAGTGCAGGAATTCAAAAAACTTAAGAGCCAGTTTAAGCAGATTTTTTTTTTTTGAAGCTAATAACTATGTACTATGAAGCAAAGACAAGAACACAATTTAGCCAAACCTCATAATCTGCTCCCACACTCTTAATGTTAACTGTCTGAATTTCATTATGCTTAGCCCATATAATTTTTCCACTATTGTCCATACTGGCTACGGGTACCTCTCTACCAATTTTCACCATAATTGTTCCTTCGTCATAGCCAATTACAACCCTGTATAGAAAGTGTAATTACATAAACAATTGGAGTTTGTCATTGGGTAAAAAGAAGTTAGACTCACTCTCACTCCCACTATCATGCAACAATATCTTAGTAACTTAACATTCCAATCAACAACACATATGCGAACTCAAGTAGAGCCTTCTTTCTTTAGTTATTGGCTCATAAACAACAAAATGAAGAACTTTGAATAGTATTTTCACAATGACTTCTCTCCTTTGCATGCTTTGAATAGCAAACTTTGACATTCAGAGGAGGCCAAAGTTAAAGGATTTTGAGCCACCTAAATAAGCTCATGCAATCAAAAAATAAGATGAATATCTCCCTGAAATCCACATGTACAATTAAGCGAACGGAAATTGAACTTACCTTCGTGAACCTTTCATGTATCCAATAGCCCAGACTCTTTCAAGACCATAGTTCAATGTGTTCTCAAGTCTGTAAGACAATTAAAAGAAATTTAAAACTTAGGAAATTGAGAAGCCAGCAGAAACCATCTTTACAAGTTTACACTACACATGGAACTAAAAAGGATCACATACTATGATGAGTGCAAATACATACACAAATTAACAGGCTCTAAGTTTTAAAGCTTTGCTAAAGTTTTACCCTTTCATCTAAAAATTGTATGCATTTCATTTTTTTGTATTCCCAAAATTCAACTGGATTTGGTCCTGTTCAAGAGCAAAGGCTAGCCGAGGCGAATTTACAACTTTGATCTTGCTCACCAATATTCCAATCACAATTCAAAACCGTAATCAGGCTCTGGAGAGATCTAGTCAGCAGCCGTAGATGAAACAAATACATCGTTACAAATAAAGCATTAAAAGTTGAAAACAATATACTAGACATGGCAAGCACTAGAACTGAAAAGTCATTTACACTTGGGAAGAATGAGGCCTTAAAAACCAAAAGTATACGAGCAAAGATCACATAATCAACACAATAGTCTTACATATTTAACAATGTTTTAAAAACCGGCCCGGCCCGGCGGGTTGACTGGGTGAACCGGAGCCTGAATCGGGCCAGTTTAGTTATGAAATCGTTTAAGCAAATGAACCGGATAAAACCCGTTGACTTGGCCGGTTTTATAACAAATCCGGTGAACCGGACGGTTTGTTCCAAACCGGACGATTTAACTCAAATACTATAAAACGAAATTTCTAGGGTATTTTTTGCCCAAATTTCATTTCTTTTGTTCACCTTTGCCCTCTGCTCCTCACAGCTTCAAAGGTTAGTCCTCCTCCTCTCTCTCTCTCACACACACACACTTGCTCGCAGATCGCTGCACTCAATAGCTCAATCAAAGACTCAAACTACTCCGATTCGCAGAAAATGGACTATTGTGCTGTGATATTTAATTAGTAAGTGCTCGCCTTTGACTCATCTGTGCATAAAGCATTTGTCTTTCAAAGAACTCAGAAATAATCAATGCCTTTCACTTTATTTATATTTTTTTCAGTCAGTGATTGAAAAACTGAGCTGGGCAATTTGTATGAATATTACACTGGTTCTGTGCTTTTGTTTCTTAATTTTCTGTACTGCATGCCTTTTACTTTATGTGTTTCTTTTTCAGTCAATGTTTCAAAAACTAAGCTGGGCAATTGGCGAAATTTCAATTTCGCAATTTTGCACTGGTTTTGTGTGCTCCTATTTCTCAATTTTGCACATTTCATGCTTCAGTTAGCTGTTGTCTTTATCGTGGTCATTTTGTTTAGTATCTAATATGTTTATGGATGTGGATGTTTTTCGATTTAGCAAGTAGACAATTAATTTTTTTTCTTCACTGACATTGGTAGCTAACATATTCAATTCAATACTCTTTTGAAAAAAGATGTATTAATGTGGTATGCTGAGGAGCACTCTGGATATTGAGGCTGAAACTGCAAATGTGTGTGTCTATATGTGGACCACCTAAATATCAAAGTAATATCACATTAGTCATTTGATAATAGTGGTAATATTTGTATTTTCAAGTAGATTACAATTTACATATGCCTTGTTTGGATACATTATGCATTGAATTGAATGCATTGGATACATGTTTGATGATTTTGGGGGTTTTGTTTGATCTAATATATATTAATCATGCTATTTTCATAATTATTGTAATTTTTTTAGCTAATTTATAATTATTTTTTATTTTTTTTATTATCTGACAGGTTCAACAAGTGACCCAACGGTTGAACCAGTAACCCATTGACCTGGTCCCTTTCCCGAGTTGACGTCCGGGCCGGGTTTTAAAACTATGATATTTACTGTTATGATTTATGAACCAAACCACTATCACAATATTTTGCTTCTTGTAACCTATATTTCCCTTCTGCCTAATTTAGTAAACACTCTTGAACATTGATACAGGTAGAATAATTATGATATCTGAAAGATAAACATGGCCTTGAGAGGACAGACAAAAAAATCCTTACGCAAATGCTTTCAATGACATACTTAGACAATAGCCTCTCAATTTTAATATCCAGCACTACATGTATCCTGAGGTTAATGGTGTGCTTCAAAATAGATACGCACGTTTAAAGGCCAGTAGGTGACAACTACATAACCAAAAGCTTTATAAAGAAGGAATGTGGAGAGAAATAAAAAAACAATGATAAACCGATACGAAGAAAGGAATTCATTACAATAAGGAACACACACCCTCTGCGAGAAATTAAAATTAATGATAATATCATAAGAACACCCTATCAGAACATATGAAGTCTAGAGAACACAATTTGTCCCATCTGTACCACAAAACTTACCTATAAGTGGTTGCATGCCATATGCGTACAGTACCATCTTCAGAACCCGTAATTATTATGGGAAGATCAGGATGAAAACAAACAGCGGAAACATTGTGTGTGTGGCCTTCTAGCGTCTGGACGCAACTTTTGGTTTGATAATCCCACACCTGTTGATAGAATTTGGCACAAACATTTCCGTATCACACATTTATGGAGAATCAACATGCAATGGAGAAAGGAAAACATGTGACACACCTTAGCAGTGTGATCATCAGAACCCGTGATTAGATAAGGTTTATCACCACCCGTGAAGTAGTCTACGCAATTCACCCCTTTCAAGTGGGCATCCAATGTGAAGTTTGGGTCAGGAGAGCCAAGATTCCAAATCTATGCAAGAAGACACTACCGTTGAATCAATTACACCAAATGATGCAAAACTTCCAGCTACCAACTTAAAAACAAATAATCATGTACAAACCTTTATAGTGCGATCCAGAGATGCACTTGCAAAGGTATTGGTATCTTTTGGATTAAAGGTCACTTGCATCACATAATGGGAGTGACCCTCAAAAATTTGAGTACACACCCAGCCCTTCTCCCAGTCCCAAAGCTTAATAAGCATGTCATCAGAAGATGATAGCACATACGGCAGGGTAGGATGGACAGAAACACACCTAATATAATCTGTGTGCGCCTCAAATACTTTGACTTTATCCATTGTATTGTAATTGTAGACTCGAATAAACATGTCATCTGCACCAGCAACAACCCACTGCTTGCGAGCTATAAACCTCGCTGACCTAACTGCAATTACATCAAGTAGGCTTTATATCGAGCTAAAGTTCCCCTCAAAATTAAAGGATGCAAGAAAAAAATGTCATTGTTGACCAATAGAGGATGTCAGATATCACTCAAGCACCTGGTAATTCAGTGACCTCAAAAGATTTTGCCATAGTCTGCAGGAGCAAATATGAGGTTTAAGTCAGCATTCTATGCAACTGTTAAACTCATAAAATAGCTGGTATTTCAGGGGAAACTTAAAAAACAGAACATCAGGGGTAACTGGATTATGTTCATAGGGAGTTGGTCAATGCCACCCTTATCATCGTGGCTTCACATATTACTGCATGGATATAAAATCCAGGCGACCTAGCTTTAAGCAAAACACTCTATGACCGATATGGTTTTCCTGGTTACAGAAAGCCCTGCCATGTTGTTTCGGAAAGAATCAACAAAGAATCTCTAAGAAACGATACAGACTATATTGCTGATATGCAATATAAACATCAATAACACCCTGCAACAGGAAACCATAGGTCCAAAAATGTGTCTTGTTTATAACATACCATGGATATAGGAAAGAAGCAAAAAAAATTAATAGAGAGATAAATAGAGGTCAATTTGTCAGTAAGAAAATTAAAAGGACAAATTTTGGGACCAACATATTTATGCATAATTGCAACGAAATCTGTAGCAATTTGAATCTTCACAGTACCTTTTAGCATATTGAAAGACACAGGGTGTTGTTTATTAAACTTCATGAGGTTCACCTTCCAATTCTATTTTTTCCTTTTTCTCTTCATACTTGACTCATTTTCAAGGGGCCACAAAGCAATTTGAATAGTGAGCTACGAGAACCCCCCCAACCCCCTCTTTGAACATTAAATCCCAACTAAAAAAGCAAAATCCCCACCATTTTTGACATCACCATTGTCCTAGAACTATGCTATTCTGACACCCGGCTTGAGCAGAAGATTCAGTGAACAAAGTCCTCGAATAATTCAGTACCAACAAAAAAGTAGGCATGTAAACAAAGTAGCATGGTATAACAAAAAATAACATTTCTGTCACTTCAATTGGAAATCAAACCATACCTGAGTCTGGTAGTTCCAAATGCAAACAGTCCCTGAATACAAACTCGCCAAAATCCTGGGAGAAAAAGGTATTGCGTACCACATATAAGTAAATAAGAAATTCAATCGACCGTGGCATGTAAATCCCTAAGCTAATACCTAGTTTACTTTCCAGTAAAGTCAATGCTACATTTCATTTGTTGGATGATATATTCAACGGTTGGGACTATATTCTCAGCAACCAAATACAGGAAAAAATGGAAGTGAATTTCCAATAACCATACAGGATTAAAAACAAAAGGTTCCTGAACAAGAGTGTAATTACCATGGCTCCGTTGGATGTAAATCCACAGATTTCACTCTCTCCGATCTTTGAGCAAGTTTTCTCTGATCCAGAAATTAGCATTAAAATTAATCAGAAAACTAATGAGAACCAAACATTGACAACGGATGTCTAATCTAATAATGAAGGTCACCAGTACCTTAATTTCGAGTCTGAGAGGCTGTGCCACACCAATCGCGCAATACACGAATACAAAAACAAAAGGAAGCAAATTCCAGTTAGAAAACATCACAACACCAGATCTCAAATGTTAAAGTGCAAATTATGAATAAGAAATGCCCCAATTCATGTGTGTGGCGACAAATTCATGTATACGAACGTCTGATGAGAGAACATATCCAAATCGAATAAGATTCGGACCAGATCCAACTCAAATCGCAATGTGAAATAATGTATTTGAATCGTGTAAACAAGCGACTGACTCACCATCTTTTACAAGTGAAAAACAAGATTCAGTAGGTGAAATCGGAGTGTGACGGGATGAAGAACCCCGGAGATCCGAGTCACAGTGACTTGATCAAAAACTCGCTAAAGAAGATCTTTGCTCGAACAATTCACCAACTGTGGGAGAGAGAGAGAGAGAGAGAATGGAAATAGAGGTTTAGCACATATAACAGCGCAACCTCTGTACATGAAGATGAGACTACGGAACAATTGATTGATGCTTCATATTGAAGAAAATAACTAACAATATAGTGAGATCCATTTTAGGAGATTACCTGAGGGGACGTGGGCTGTTTATGGGTCGGATTGGACCTTGATGATCCGTTTGGTAAAACGGTGTCGTCTATACAAAACGACAAGGCTTGAATATTTTTTTTTCAACTTAAAAATATGTCCAAATGACATTTTCCCCCAATAGTTATAAGTTATTATTTTTTGACCCCAAATTAATATTATGGCCGGCAGACCAATGAAGTGAAAGAATTTTTAAAAGTTTTTAATAATGCAATTGTGGTTTTATTTTGTAATTATCATAACATGTATTTAATGAATATAGAATTTGTTTGAATAAAAAATAGGGTGAGGCTATGCTCACCTCACAAATTTTCATTCTCACCCCATTTAATTTCTCATTTTCAAATTATTTAGTTTATCCCTTCTATACTTATTTCATTAGTAAGTAAGTCCATCTCATACTACATACACTCCCTTAAATAAGTAAACCCACTATTTTGTTATAATTAGAGTTTCATTCTCTATCTTATCTCTTACACAAATAAAAACACCTTTTTAATATGAATTTTTCTAGTAAGATACACGTTAATATTACTTCTCAATTTAATTCCATATTTGATTTCATATTTGTTGTATAAATTTTTATTATTTTCAGTATACTTTGATATCTCAGTCAATCTTAATAATTCATTATTTAGAATTTATATGTGTGTGTGAGTATGTGCGCGCGCGCGTATATATATATATATATATATATAGGTTTTGCATTTACGCTTGTTATTTTTTTTTTTCCATTTTATGTCTGTGTTTTATGAGTGTTTGTGCTTGATGCTTGTTTTTTTTTCATGTTCGATTTGACGTCTTGTAGTTTTGCGTCTTGTAATTTTACTTATTCTTTTAATCTTTGCTTGGTTTTTTTTTGCCCTCTTGTTTTTGGTTTGCTTCTTTATTTCTTTTTTTTTTCCTTGTTTCGTTCCTTTCTTTTTAAAGGGGGTGTATATAGTATGGGGCAGACTTAGTTACTAATGGGATGGGGTATAGAAATGGTGAGTTTAATGAGAAATTAAATGACATGGGAAAAGAGATTTGTAGGGTGGGAATAGCCCCACCCTAAAAAATAAGTGAAGCATCCTTTTATATTAACATGCTTCTAATATAAGATAGATTGAAAGATGTCAATGTTTCCAACAATGCCTAAGTTTAAAATTTTACAAATTTTAATGAAATTTTTTTCTCGTGTACGCATTTTAGAGAGTAGAGTTATGCAAGTAATATACAGTTGGGGTATATAGTTCATTCTGTATTTACAAATAACATATTATTTTAATTTTTATCCATTTGTTTTGAAATTTTCAAATATAGTAACTTAAAGTAAGAAAAGTAACAAAAATAAACCCATAGGCCAACTAGATTCGACCCGCCTAAAAACCTTGATTAATAAATTTTTTAAAAAATGATAAAAACACAAATGATGTGAATTTTTTATTATGATGATTTAAATGTCCATAACATAATGTTTCAATGTATATTTTTAAAAGAAAATTTTCTTATTGGATTAGCAAGTTAGTCCACAGGTAAAATGTAACCCTTTGTAAAAAAGATTATTAGCTAAAAATAATTTACAACCAGCCCTGGTCCTTTTTCTGGCCCTAGCCTCAACCCTCGAGCCAATCCCATGGCACAAAATAATTGTTCCTTTAGAAATTTTAACAAACTATAAAACACAAATGACATAGTTTTATGATATGATATGCGTCTCCATGATAATTTTATTGTTGGCGAACAAGACGATTTTCTCTCTACAATGACTTCACTCTCTAAGGCGACTGGAGAAGGGGAGAAAATCTCTGTAGACTCATCCAACTTTTAATAGCAGAATTCAATGAATTCAGCTACCGGTCTGAAAACATCTAAGAAAGGACTAGAAATTACTCATTTGCTCTTTGCAGATGACCTTATCCTCCTTTCAAGGGATTCAAAAATAGATTGTGAAGTGATTAAAGAAATACTAGGGAATTTATGTGGGCTTTCTGGGCAAAAAAATAACACTTCTAAGTCCAGAGTTTATAGTTCACCTAAGGCTCATCAGTTGAGCAGAATGTGTGGGTATTCTCTTACCAAGGACCTATGAAATTATCTAGGTATCCCTATCCTTCATACCAGATAGTCAAAACAACATTTCAATCACCTAATTAAAAAAACCCAAAAGAAGTTGTCAAGGTGGAAAGCGAAAAATCTTTCAATGGCTGGTAGAATCACATTGGTTCAATCAGTAACTTCTACTCTTCCAAACTACACAATGCAAACACAATGGTTGCCTCAAACTACTTGTGAAAATATGGATAAATAGAACAAAAATTTTCTATGGGGAGATACTGAGGAAATGAAGAAAATTCATTTATTAAGCTAGAACAAAGTATGCATGCCTGAAAAACATAGAGGATTAGGCCTGAAGAAAACCAGAGATAATAATATAGCACTCCTGTCAAAGTTAGGGGTGGAAAGTCAAGACAAACTACAATGCTTTATGGGTTGATGTTATAAAACAAAAGTATATTACTCTAGGTTTGGAGTCTTGGAAAAAAAATTTGCTGCTTCTGACTTGATCTTAATTGTACCTTCAAGTATAAATGGTCAAGTTGTAATATTACTTGGTGAAGTCGGAGGTCGAATTCACAAAGAGTTATCTATTGTGACTCAAAACAAAAAGGATGAAATTGTCGTGTGCGTAGCGTGTATTACAGCAACTTGTGATTTGAGCTTAAAACTGATAAGTTAAACTAAACTTTGATTATAACAAATGAAAAAAATACTACTCTTTAGTTTGAGGATCCAATATGCATTTTAATGCTTGATTACGAAAATGTTATCTTACAGCAATTAACTCTCATGTTGTTGGAAAGTTAACTAGTAGGTTTTATATATAAGTTGAACCATATCATATCAACAATCAATTGACCCTAGTAAACCCAAAAGTGAACCATTCAAAAGGTTTACTATAGCTATTTGATTGATAATTCTTTGATTTAATGAAGACAGAGTTTCAATTTATACATTGAATTAAAAGTATTGACTATGACAAGACTTAATCCGTCTATAACCAATCTCCATACTGTTACATAAATCCCAACTACGTGCATCATTGTATTATGCATGAAGTACATAATAGAGTATAGATAAAATGGTAGTCAACAATAAGTCTAGCTCGGTACTTGTAACCATGAGCATATGCTAATACAATATCAAACATAAATGAAAACCATTCATCATTTAAGGGAGGTATAAACATTAAAATATAAATAAAACATCGACACTTTTATTACTCAAACAATATTACACATCTTTACCCTTCACTAAAGAGTATAAAAAGACTACTCATTCCTCATTGCTACAGATGAGCAATGAGGGTAAGTGTATCCAATTACAATAGAAAATAAAATACAACAGAGTCTTCCCCGATGAATAGTTGAAACACCTCCACTCTTATTATCGATTAGGGCAAAAAAGTGAGAAAGATTCAACCCTCCAAGTAGAAAAAAAGTAAAAAAAATGTAAAAGAGAATTTTGGCTAGGGGTGTTTAGGGTAGGGTATTTTTCTCCTTTTTTTTCCCTCTCTTTTCTCTCTTTTCTTCCACTGGAAAATGGAAGAGAACTTGTGAAAGTGACTCCTAATCATGCCTATTTATAGGCCATTCCAAGTAGCTCAAGTCAGCAAACTCCCACATCACCCAATTAGGTAAGTCGTTGCAACAATGGACCAATGGGAGAGAAGGACAAGGTAAGTCAATTAAGGCCACCGTTCGGACGCCGTCGCCACCACCATCCGGACGGTGCTCTGAATTTTCTGCTCGTAGCCTCCTTTGCTAACTTTTTGACTTTGGACTATTGGGATGGCATTTCTAGCATCCGGATGGTGTTGTCTTGCTGTATTTCTTCTTTCTTTCCCTTTTTTGCACTTTTAACCCTTCAAGTTCCCATAATTATATATAAAACCTTACAAAACACATATTTCAAATATTAATCCTAATATAATCAAATATTAATCCTAATATAATCTCAATTAATCACTTCAAATCAATTAATGCATATAATTAATCCTAAATCCTAATTCATTTATGCACTTTTTAGGGTTAATCAGTTTCCCCCACATGGAATGCCCTCCTGAAAGTTAAAGATCAATCAGATTCAGGAGCTAAATGGGTAATAGGTAATGGGTTAAAAGTCAATTTTTGGAAAGATCGGTGGATTGGAGATGGACCTTTGATTAATAAAACCCCCTCCCTCCTAATGTGAACCTTAATGCTAAAGTTGCTAATTTCATTGATGAGGAGGACAATTCGAAAGTCCATAATACAGGTATGGATTTTCACCCTAACCTTGTTCAAAAAAGATATTATTTTCACCCCTACCCCAAACCCCCTAAGAAGATGTTTGCTTCAGGGGATCAAGCAAGAAAGGTCAATTTTCTGCCAAAACAGCTTATGAGTTTAATGTGGAATCAAACATATCAATTATTTTATTTTTTTTGATTGAGACTGGATCTGAAAATTGGAAGCCCCTCAAAGCCGAGTCATTTCCTATGGCTTGCTAAACATGAAAGGTTACCATGAAACACTCAAAGAGTAAGGAGGCATATGATAAATGATCCTAGTTGCATTAGGTGTGGCGCTACTGAAGAAACTACCAACCATATTATTAGAGACTGCCCCAAATCTAAGTTAATCTAGAATCACTTCTCTCATCTTCAAGATAGAGTTAATTAACAAACATTGGATTTGGCTAGTTGGGTGTTTAACCAGTTTAATAAAAAGTCTATTAAGGCATGAGATGGGATTCCTTGGCCTACACTTTTTTTTTGTCCACAACATGGAACATATTGAAAGAT